CTTCAAATAGAACCATTTCTCATCAATATGAATGGAAACCAATCATCAAATCTTCTGTTCTCATCATTATGGCTCAGTGGTATCCACTCAAATCTCTTGAGTTTATTTGCAGGTGCGAGTAAAGGTTTGGCACTTCCATTTTGCCTTGCTTTACAAGACGGAACAAAGAAGTTGTTGGAATCCCTATTGCAGCTGAGACTTCTTAAATCACCTCTGTCTTTGAGTGGAACATTTTTCACTACTGCTGCCTCTAGATCTGACAGAGTTCTGGCTTTCCCACAGAGTTTGGCCTCTGAGATAACATGTCCCTAGAAGGGCAAGTTCATGGATCCATCATTTTCTTGTAGTGGTCCCACACTCCTGAGAATGTCCTTTGCAATATGTTGTATGTCTCTGCAGCTTCTTTAAGAGCTCTTCTTGCAACAAGAGTCAAGCCCTTTGGGCTGCTGATTTTGTGATGCATGAGATCATGAACAATTGCTAGTCTTTGGTTCTTGATCAAGTTCTTGCTGAGCTTTCTTCTTGGTAGAGTACAGGATTTTCTGGCAGTGCTGGTTGAGCTTGCAGTGGTATTGGTTGCTGGGGTATAACATGTTGTTGTTGCAGGAGGAGGAAGAGTGTCACTGGCTTCCAGCAGGAGCTCCATCACATCAGTTACCATCTTGCTGTTTGTTGATTTGTTGCTTTAGAAAGAATAAAAAAAGGGGGGGGAGTTAGTTKAAACAAGCAGCAGCAACTCACAGCCAGCACAAAGAGAGGAACCATAGTTTGTTGGATGGTTGATTGTTGACAAGTTGCTGGTGCTTCCCCCCTCTTAATGGGAAGGAGCAGAGAGCAGACCAGCTGATGGATCTCTTAAGAGTGGAGACAACAGAGGCACAAGGCAAGTTGTTGGCACTTCCCCCTGTGAGTGGAGACAATGGAGGTGCAAGGTGAGGTGATGGATCCCTTCAGAGGCGCACCACAAGAAGTCAATGGATCCCTTCCCCCTCTTTCTTGTGGAGGTACCAAGTGCAAGGCAAGTTGACGGATTCCCTATCAGTGGAAGCAACGGAGAAGCAAGGCTAGTGGACGCAAGGTTAATGCTGGAAGCAACAGAGAGCAGACTGGTTGATGGGTCWCCTCTTAGTGGGAGTAACATCTAAGTYGTTGCACTTGTTGGCACTTCCCCCCCCCCCCCCCCMCCCCCCATTGCATCATGCATGGAGTCAAGTGCAATCAAATGGCATGCAATGAAGGCATGATAGGCTGCCCAGGGTGGATGATGAATGGCTAACCAGTTTGTCAGGTCCACAATTTCCTTGCATAGCATTTTAGAGAAATTGTCATACCAGAGTAGCCAAGTTTTGAGTTCTTTGCCGCCAGTGCCACCTGGACCAGCAGTGCACTCTCCAGTTCCACAACGTCCTGCATGACACTTAGAGGGAGCTTTGTGGGGACTGCAATGGATACGTACGTACAGTATCGACTGTATCGTAAGTATACRTACGATACGGAGCTTTGAAGAAAAGAATGAAGGAACATACCATTCCTACGTACGTGTCGTAAGGTACCATTCTTATGTATGTATCGTAGGATCCATCGTAAGAGGTCTGAGGATCATAAGAGGTCCATGATATCAGAAATAGATTACCTCGCAAAGAACAAAGATGTCAGTAGATCAGAATAATAAGAATCCTGTGTAGATTCAGTACCGAGAGCTACACAGGATCTAATCAGAGCTACTGAAAGCTCACATCGGAACACGATAATCTTAATCTTATAATTCAATTTTCATACACACTTAAAACACTTACTAAGAGTACACGTAATCTCGTGCACAGTAATTACTAATTGGATTTCGTGTATCGAAATTAATCATCCATTAAGAAAAACAACCAAAATATTACATCGACCATGGTGAAACCAAATAAAAACAACTCCTCCTCACAATATCGACATGCACATTCATATCAATCATGTCTTACCCTCGACAACCAATTCAAGAAGAGTGACATGGAGAAGGTCAGTCTCTTTGTGGATCATCCAGCAAGGACAGAGACCTCAGGAAGAGGAACAAATCTAAGAACAATTGAAATCCCTGCAATGAGAAAGAAAAGAAACTGCTCAGTTTTCTCCGGACAATATGGAGTACAGGAATTGTTCCATATACAGGAAGCCTTTGAGGATGCAGCGGATGACTTGAAACTGAGGGATGAACAAATCGATGAGAACTGGGTCATGGTCTTGGCACACCGACCAAGACAGAATTGGAACAACATGTGGAAAGGCCCAGACAGATTGAGAATTGGAAGAAACACCAGAGAACAGTGGAAACAAGCCCTTGTCTCCTTTAGAGAATTTTATGCACCATCGAAGAGAGCRAGAGATGAGGTGATTGAATACTTAGAATCAGAAGCCATAAAAAAGCCCCATGATATCACTTGTCAGGAACATGCAGAGAAAGTCCTCGTTTGCTGCAACAGGGCCAACATCCTTCATGGTATCGAAAGCCCCTTATCTGAAAGAGAGATCAACGAGATTCTTTTCCACTCTTTTCCCAACGCTTGGCAGGATAAATATATCAGTTGTGGAAGGGATATCCTCRAAGATTCACCACAAGGAATAGTTAAATTCATGACAGATCAGAAGGGACTTGCCGACAAGAATGAAAAGAAACAATCAAGAAAAAGAACAGCAGATGATACTAATGCAGGACATGGAGGTAGGAATACAAATGGGAAACAAAGGAGACGCAACAACAACAACAACAATAACAGAAATAACAACCAACAGAATGAGACCCCGGAAGAAAGACAGAGTAGGATTAATGCACAGCCCTGCAGGAAACACAAGGGAGAACACCTTTGGGGCGAATGTCCATTCAATCAAAGAGGAAACAATTACCAGGGTAATAATCAAAGTAATAATAACAATTACAGAGGAAATCAGAGGAGTCAAGGAAATTCAAATGCAGGCGGCAACAGCAACAAAAGATTCGTACCAGGAGCCTATTCATGCACCATGGATGAACATGGGAATATGAGCAACTTCCAACCACAGACAATTCAACCTCAGAGCTATCAGCTTGGTTCAAGCTCCAGCGGAGGCCCTCCAAGCCACGTCTCATTACAGTCCCATAGCAATGCCGGATCCGCAACTCAACTACAAGGACAAGGACAAGGACCAAATCAACAGTGGTGACATTCGAACGAGGCCTTCTTTGCATTGCCTCCAACACCATCTACTCATTCACCAGAGGAGAGCTTTGAATTCTATGGTCTTGATAATGAAGAAGCTCTTAAGAATCCAACAGCAGTGACCTTGCGAGCTCTGAAACCACCACCAGATGTACTACCAGCAGTCATCCTAGTATGCAAAGCCATCCAAGATCTACCAACCATGCAGACATTCACGGCTCTTTTAGACAGTGGACCTTGTCATATGGCTCAGAGACACAACCTGTCGGATTCTTGTGCAGAGTAGGATGCATGGACTCCAAAACCTCAAGGACAGGGTGGCCTGTTTTGGTACACTGGTCATCCAGGTGCAAAATGCCGCCACTGTCTCAACCAGTGAGGTTTAACTTTGATATGTTTTTAAAAAAMATTTGAGACAGATTATGTCCAGTTCTGACATTGGTGCTGAAAATCTGGATTCCCAATTGATCAACATCAAAAGGGCCATCTTCATTGATGTTGCTTTCTGGTTGAAAACAGCTTTGCTTTGATCATGAACAAACAGTAGATTTCCAGTAGTACTGGAAATGTACTGTTTGCTTTTCTCATTGCTTGAAATTTAGTGCCATTTTTCTTTAAATGAGTTGTTCTGCAAGTATACTGATTGCATCACTCTCCTGCCTTAACTAACAGAACATATTTTAATAGTCCATTAACTGTAAAGCTACTACTACCAATTGCCTCTTTGCCTTGTAAGTACTAAGTAGCACAACACGTTTTACATGTCAGACCTGGTGTCCTCCTAGCTTATGCTTTTTCTTCAACAATCATTTGCACACACCTGCTTACTTTTCAGTAGTACAATAGATCAGGGGTGAGTGTGACCTTTGCTTTTCCACCAGTCCTCTTTGATCTGCATGCAGTACTTTTTTGTTGAAATATATATATGTGCTCTACTACTGTTTTCTATCCTTTGCTCTACTACTGGTGAGTTTATTTCAATGTACATCATGTACCAGCAGGATAGATCAGACAATATTGTGTTACTTAAGGAGGAAAGGGAATCAGTAGATTTCCATTAAAGCAAGTTATTTTTTAGGAAATCCATAGATTTCCAGTAATGTGAAAAGTAAACAGCAGTAGATTTCCTGTAATGGTGCTGTCCCAACCACCAGGAGCCAAAGGAAGTAGAGGAACTATCACATGGGGACACATGCATCAAGAACAGGGCAATAAGGTTAGTAGTAGTAACTGTTATTTTTTGGACATGTCTAGAATAAATCAAGAATAAAATAGAAATAAACAGTGAATTGAAAAGGAAATAAAATTTATTGTAAGTACTTCCTCAATTTACCAATTTGCTAATAGTAGTTCTACATTCTTATCTTAGGACCACCACAATCATATTACCAAACACCAGCAGCTACTACTAGTACTACCTAGTAGTAAGTTCTGGGAGAGCCTCCTCAAATCAGACACTAGTGTTGAAGCAGAATGGAATCAACAAACTATCCCATTACGACTAAGTGTCATGCAAAGCAAGCCAAGAGGACACCATGTTTCGGGATTGTGAAACATAGTTGGAATAGCTAATTGTTATGATCCTACATTCAGACTCCTGTAACACGCACCACTGCCTGCTTTGAAGATAAGGAAAATCCAAGATATTCGTATTTCCAGCCAAACCGTTTGCAGGATTCTCTCCAAGCCCTGAATTCATCCTGCCGCCAAGTAGGATGACAAACGTATTCGTCAAAGACAAGAATCGTTCCCACAACAATTCTTCCGTGTAGGGCTTCTAGAATGTCAACGGTACTTGTGTACAAGTCGCAATCAATATTGGCGTATGCAACATATGCGTTATCACCATAATCTTCCAAAAAGGGAGTGAGAGTATCGCTAAAAAGTCCCTTGTGAAAAAATACATTCGAAGAAATTGAGGGTATGATTCCTCCAGTAGAATATGCTCCTGCTGGTTCGGAGCCCCAGGCCTGTGGAAGTCCGGTACTGTGATACAATTTGGTGAGAATTAGAAAATAAGAAAGGATGGCAAGAGAAGCAAAATGCATATGCGGAATCTAATGAAATTCTTCAAGACGAAAAATCAATACATTGGAAAAACTTACAATGTATCAAAGCCATGCATTTCAATGTCAAGTGGCAGAATTTCTTGTGTCATTCTCATGGACTTTCCCGAGCCAACACCAAATTCACAAACCAATCCATGTGACCTGTTCTCTCGTTGGCCTTCGATAAGTGGCATGGCGGCGTCGAGCGCAAGTTTCAACATGTCCCGTGTTCCTCGGTGTAGATTGAGTAGGGCTGGATCAGTATTCCGAGTATGCCACCTGAAAAATGTGGTTAGAAATGGGATCTACGGATGTGTAGAGAGTCTCGTGAAGATCACCGATGATGCAAACGATGCCGATTTATGCCTTAATTTCGTTTCTTACCTGACGTATCCCCACGAATCACTCAAGCATGAGGTATGTGCTTCCGAGCGCTGTATTCTTTCMAAAATTGGTTCTGCTTCTTCGATTTCACCTAATCGTTCTAAAGCTACACCCATGTTGAACAGAATCGAAGCCTTCATGCTCCTTTTCAATGCTTTTCGGTAGGCCTCTACGGCCCGTCTAAGGTGGTCTAAATCTTTGCCATTGCCTCCGGTTGCTTCAAGAGCGACTCCGATGCCTTTGAAGGACTCTGGTGACGGCATTGGATCGATTTCCGCTGCCATCCTACAATAGTAAGGACCATCAAATTAGAACATCAAACAAAGGCATCATCGATCAGAGAGTATATCGTATGCAATTACGTATCTGTGTTTTGTGGCTTATCGATTCAGAGTTCCAGTTCCTGTCGTTCCTTGAAATAACACTAAAACTTACGAGTACAACCGAACCGCAGATCTTGCATCACTGAGAGATTCCACATTCAAGAATCCCAATCGGACGAGAGTGTACGCTAGGACGGCTTGGCAGTCGTCCTTCGAGAGATTTGTAACGTGTTCAAAATTTTCTGGCAGCTCCAAAAAACATTGAAAGAGTGTTGCGGCTTCGTGGAAGGCACCGCTTGCAAGTCTGGGCTGACCAGACTTGTCGAGCTGCTCTCCTCTTTGAAAGGCTCGATCCGCCTCTCCAATCACCGAGTTGAACGTGGTGGGTTCATCGATGAGTCCAGCCAGGGACGACAAGGACGACGGCGTTGGGCGGGGATGAGTTATCCCGCGGTTGTAAATATTGGTGCTTCGGCATGCCGCCGTATCGACTGTAAAGGCATCTGTGGATAGCGCGGCAAGCACTGTCCACGCAAGAACCAGACGACAATCGAGTTTTTTCATTGTTTGTCTTCCGATCTCACTGCTAGCTCAAAATGATCTTAAATACAATATGAACAGTTCGACACGAACTAGATGATTGTTTGTCGCTCTAGAATCAATAGAGTGTATGCCAATGAATAGTATCTTAGAAATAGGGTCGACGAGATTGATTCTAATTTTGGAAATGTTGAATGTAACCTCGTCTTTTCAACATTCAACATGTCAACGATGGTCAACAAGCTCGCTTTTTGGTCCTCGATTTTCAGAGATCATGCCATCAAGATTGTAACAGTAGTACCGTACTGTACCGTACGGTGCGAAGGGTACCGCATGACGTATCAGCGGGACGGAACCAAACTTACATTACGTAATTTATGATCATACCATGAGAGATATGGGAGTATTTTTAGCTTGAAACTAACGCACCGTACGGTACGAACCGTATGTTAGAAAACTGTACAGTATTTCGACAGTTAAGTACCGTAGTACTTCGTGCGAAGTAGTTGATTTACGGGTACTCGTACTCCTCCTACGAGTCGTACAAGTACGATTAAGAAAATCGTAAATTGTAAATTCGTAAATTCCCATATTGCTGCAGGAAACATCAGGGTGGTACCAGTACCTCAGTCGCAACAACACATCTGCCTTCATAACCAGTAGGTCTAGAACCATATCAAACAGTCACACCTGCCCTAACCGGCAGTTAATGCGAGCTCCTTCTTGACACAAAAACGCAAGAACGAACATGTATTGTTAGAGTCCGTGCAGCTGAGGTTCTCGTTCAGGGTCACAATGTCGTCGTCTTCGGGTGCTATTCCGTCGGGGTTTCCGTCGTCTTTCCCTAGTGGGTCACCAAGCAGTGTCGTCGTCGCAAACATAACGGAATCCTTCATCGAAGCAGAGAAAGCCGAAAAAGATCACGAGTTTAATGCTGAAGCAGCATTTACTCTCAATCTGACCATCATTGCGTGTCTACTTCTGGCATATGCAATCAAGAAATTCCAGATTTACAGCCTACCCGAATCCGCAGGAGCACTTCTCGTTGGCGTCATCGTTGGCGGGATGGCCCGATTGGCGGTCGGTGTTCAGAGGCTTGATTTGTTTGAATTCCAGCCGGAGGTATTCTTTTTCGTGCTACTACCCCCGATTATTTTCGAGGCCGGCTATTCGTTGGATCGCAAGGGATTTTTCGACAACATCGGTGCCATTACGCTTTTTGCCATTTTTGGAACATTCCTCAGCACATTTGTCGTCGGCTACTTGTGCTTTATTGCCGCTCAGCTTGGTTTGGTAGCTATTGACGATGAGAATCCTATGGAGGCCCTGATCTTTGGAGCGCTGATATCTTCCGTCGATCCCGTTGCGACTTTGTCGATCATGGGCAACGAAGACCTTAACGTTGACCCACTATTGTATTCACTGGTATTTGGAGAGTCCGTCTTGAACGATGCTGTAGCCATCAGTTTATTCAAGACATTCTTTCGATTCTACAACCCCGAAATTTCAACACCCGATGTATCATATGTTGCAATCAGTCTTTCCTTCATCTTCGTTTTTGGGTGCAGTATACTTGTAGGAGTAGGAATCGGTCTCTGTGCTAGTTGGCTCTTCAAGCATACCGAACTCAGGATGTATCCAAATCTTGAAACAAGCTTGCTGATGTGTTTTTGTTACTTATGTTATGCGGTAGCTGAAGCAATCGGGCTGAGTGGTATCATGGCACTCTTTTCTGAGGGGGTTTGTCTCAGTCACTACAACGCATACAACCTGAGTATGGTTGCTCATGTCGCAAGTGAACAGATATTTTCTACCTTCGCCACGTAAGAAAATTGTTTGACCAATGTCGACATTGCTTCTTATACTAATGACACGATCACCAAATCTCACACTTTTGTCCATCCCCATTTCAAACCAACAGCCTCACAGAAACCATTGTCTTTATATACATGGGAATGGAAGTGTTTACTGGAGGGTTTCAGAACTTTTCCCTGTCGTTTTTAATTGTAGCGTTTACTAGCTGCCTAGTTGGAAGAGCTATCAACATCTTTCCGCTCAGTTTTCTTGCAAATTTCTGCCGTGAGAGATCGAACAAAATTACTGGGAAAATGCAAGTAGTTTTGTGGTTTGCTGGCCTTCGTGGGGCTATTGCGTTTGCTCTTTCAGAGAATATGGTAAGTGTGTCACAAAATAATCCGACTCGCAATCGTCAGAGGTTGGCATTCGGTATCCTTTGGTAGTCTTGTTGAACTTTTTTCGCGCGTTTTCACAACTCGGACTAATGCAGTTGGTTTATTTTTATATTGAAGCCTGGACCGCACCAAGACGTCTACAAAACTACGACATTGACAATTTGTATCATTACAACAGTATTTTGTGGTGGATTTACGGAACGCATGCTGACTGTTTTTGGAATGAGAGAAGAGCCGACGCCGAAGCTGGGGTACGGGACAGATCCCGAAGACGACGGCCTGAATTTGAATTCATTGACTTATAAACCGCCTGTTGCACAACCCCGCGAAACCCCGATGATGCAACGAAAAAGACGAATCGCGGATGGTATCAAGGGGGTATGGTATCGATTCGACGATAGAATATTGAAAAAACACTTTGGCGGCGAACGGGAATTGTCAACAAGTCACAAAAATCGGACAACGAATGATTATTCCCATGATTCGTTCCCTGAGAAAGCGACAGGTAGAGATGGATCTAATTGGCCATCTCCATCGAGAGGAAATTATGAAATGAGGCAAATGAACGGAACCAGAATGGGTGTTTCGTCAAATGGAAATAACAACTCGACAGAAGAAATGGTTTCCTTGACAGCGTCCTTCGATGTGGAGCTGGAGAATGATGATTTTATAGCCTGAACATGCAGCACTCTGTACATGATGAATGTTGAGGTTGTTAAAATAGAAACACAATGTTTGATTGTTTCCGGTAGATTATTCATCTGATGTCAATGTTACGGTATGATGGGGTTTTCTGAAGGATTTAACATCATACAGTACATTAGTTTTGTATCGACAGTTGTGCTACCTACACAATAAAAATACGTACGTAAGGTATGATGACCCCTGCTTTCTACTGTACCGTACTTCAATTTTTAATTTTCCACATTTCTTTTCTGTTTTCAAKGATGATCGTCAAACATCATCCTCGTACGGTACGTACATGTCGAAAACCGTACCGTACAATAATGTGCATCAGAAAAGGGCCTCACTCACATGTTCAAAATTCTGTTCCACTACGCTCCGGAAACCTTACACTTGCTGCTCCAATCATCCCAATTTCCAGCAGAACGATTTGATCAAACCAGATATTCTGGACGTCGCCTCTTACAGTTTCCGCCGTGACATTGTCAAGCGACGGTATAAAGAACGTACAAAGAACGATAAAGTGAATTGGGGTTCGGCACAGAAATGTTAACATCACGCCTTGTATTGAGCTCCCTCTTTGTGGTCTTTCTGTTGCAGCTTCCCAGATCTTCTGAATCATGTATCCATTGCTATCACCCACGGGCCATCACTCATAGTCCCAATAGTCAGAATCACGGTGCCCAGGCTGTTGCCATTGCTGTACCACAGAAAATTCAACCATACGGTGTGCATGTAAGGAGCAAATCTATTGCTGCTGCTAGTGCAGCCGGACGACAATTCGTGGAAATCTTCAAGAAACGGTGGCTGAAATTGCAAAACACCATCTACGTAATTCCCAAATGCAACGTATCCATCGTCAGAATAACTGCTTCTGCAGCTGTTGCGGCGGGGGGGATCGTAGTGCTCTCCCGCCACCAATTGCCATCGATGACGAGAGAGAAACTCTATAAGCAGGTATGGAGGAACGAAGCCGCCGAGGGCCAAGACGATGCAACAAATCAAAACGATGGCAGCATATTCGACGACGAGGACGAAGAAGATTTTCAACCTCTTGTCGATAAGGAAGAATCACCCATGACGACCGCTATGATTGCGACCATTGGCGTTTACAAGAACTTTATTAGTCCTCTGCTCCCCCCCGCATGCCGTTTTGTTCCCACTTGCTCCCAGTATGGTGTCCAGGCAATAAAGGAGTTTGGACCTTCCAAAGGAGTTGTTTTGACGTCATGGCGTCTTTTGCGATGCAGTCCTTTCGGGGGAAAAGGTTATGATCCACCAAAATGGCCACCGGTTTCATATACTTATTCCTCTTACTGAGTGAAGAGATGTTGAAAAATAGAAATATTGCATGAACAAATATCATCGCAATCCATTCAATGTAACGATAATACGAGAGCATGATTAAATAATGAWTTTTTTAAGACGAGTATATAATGAAGATAACCTCGGGTAAATACATACTTGGGTTACTCGAACACTAGAACATAATAACCCGCAAAATCGAAAGAGGAGCGGTCTATTCGCAAATGTGTTTTTTAATTGGTTCGTATGTCCTGTGTCAATAATCTTTCAAAGATAAACTGAAAACAAGTCGACAAGTATTAACCTCTACACTGAAACTTCAGAATAGCCTACAAGGTTTGAATCCCTGAAAACCTTCGTCCAATGGCGCTTTCCTAAACAGCAAGGAGTTGCGCTCGAGGTCAAGAATGATTTGGGGAGAGGAGAGGGATGAAAACGCTTTATTCTTCGCATTCTTCCATTTGGCTGACCTTCCTTCGAGACCTTCGTCGTACTTTTGCAAATCTTGTTGTTCTTCCCTCGTCGAAGTTTTCCATTTGCATAGGCATATTCATGAGCCCTTCGAGACCTTCCAATGGAGTGCTCTTGCCCTCCAAAATTCTTGCTATTCCGAACAAAATAGGAAATTTCAGGTCCAACCGATATCCCTTGCATTCTGTCTCGATCAATCGAACGACGGCTAGCGCCGTATCTACACCCTCTGCGACTTCGCTTGTGGACTCCAAAATTTCTTGCATAGTCTCGCCCTTTCCGAGCCGGTAACCAAATTTTCGATTTCTCGACAGCGGTCCAAAACATGTACCGAATGTGTCGCCAACGCCTAGAAATAAAAATAGTTCATTTAATTTTCAATCGGTACCAATGAATTAGACTGTTGCATTGCATTACAATATTCAACTTTCGACCCGTGCTATCTAGAAGTCAAAGCCAGTAACACTTTGCTCGATAGACAGGTTCAAAACCTCCAACACAGTTCAATCMATAGTACAATACAAGTTCTATCTTCCAATAACGTCTCGTAACTTACCGGACAACCCAGCTATCGTGCTGGATTTCGCTCCAAAGGTCATACCTAAACGTCTCATTTCGTTGCAACCCCGGGTCACCAGACCACTCATGGCATTGGTACCTAGTCCGAGTCCCTCGCACATTCCAGCACCGAGAGCAATGACGTTTTTAACGGCTCCTCCAACCTCTACACCAATGACATCCGTGCTCGTAAAGCATTTGAATTGACCATCGCTGATCAATGCCGCAAGGTCCCGTGCCAGATCAAGATCTTCCGATGCTATCACTACGGCCGTGGCACCAACGCCCTCCACGATCTCTCGCGCAAACGACGGACCGCTCAGAAAGGCCAAGGGTCGGTCCTCTCCCAGGACATCCCGAATCACATCGGCCATAAATCCCATGCTGGAAGTTTCGATTCCCTTGCTCACACTCAGAATAGGCGTTTGGGCTGGGATATAGTCCTTCACGCTTTCAAGGAACTTTCGCGAGTACTGGCAGGGCACAGCATGTATTATGTAGGTCGCATCCGGCAGGCATTCATTCGGGTCCGCCGTAGCTCGTAGCCGTGTCGGGAGTTCGATGTCTTTCATGTAACGGGGATGGCGGTGCTCCCGGTTGATCGCGTCTGCGATTTCTTCGTCCCGGACCAAAATCGTCGTGGGAAGCCCCTGCCGGGCACAAATTGTTCCCATTGCCAGTCCGAAATTTCCGCCTCCCATTACAGCTATTCGGATAGGATACGTTGGGGTCAGGAGGGAGGAAGTCGCGGCTTGCATGGTCAAGCAACTGCCGTTGCTGGTGCTCCAGGCACTGGTGATACACGTCCGCTCCTCTTGCTTCGTGACTCGGAAGTACGGATGCGATCGTTGCTGTTGTCGTGTTTTGATGGGATTGGCTATGGATTTCGAACGGGAAACTTCGAATCCAGACACCAGTACCTGTGACACAATGAAGAAAAGCAGAAGCATGCTTCTGCTTTTGCTATTCCTCCTGCGCACAAGCTGTTGTGGTTTGCATGCCATCATCCTCTCTTAGTTCCTTCAGCACTACCTTGCGATGCGATGCTTCTAGATGGCTTGTATTTCGTTTTCCTCTTGTCTAGAACGTTCGCAACGAGCACAACGAGGACTGATTCAATAGACTTCAAGTCGCGAATCCAAAAATCGACAAAGGAGGAATGGTTTCGACGCCATGTAACAGACTGGTCTCTGTTGTGGGTCTGTTTTGATAGGCAAGCACCAGTTCCCTATTAGAGCTCTCTCTCTCTCTGTTTAGGTGAGTGTCAAGCACAGAGAGACAGAACTTGTTGTATCTGCAGTGCGATTACGGTACGTACCATTTCGCTCACATGTGGCTACAGCAGCCATCACCAGTTTTCACTAAACCATTGACTTGACCGACCGCAAACAGCAACCTTGCCGCACGCTACCGTATGGTGTCGTTTTTGTCTACCGGTACTTTAAAACAAATGACGTCGGTACGCACGTGGAGGCAATATTGGACGAACAAGAACTAATCTAATTTTAGTCACGAACGAGTGCGCTACTTTTTGGTTGCCCGGAGCCTGTACGGTACGGTAGCAGTCGCCAGGGGTCATGACCCCTGGCAGTCGCCGTGTGTCAGAATCAGAAAATGGATCTACGCATCGTACCGTACTCGTACAAATACCCTGTATGGGTACGAGTACTCGTACTCGTACGTACCCGTTACGTTATGCTGTGTGGGAAGGGTGGAGAGGGTCGTACGGATTCCGGGATGTACTTACGTACGTAAAGGTATGTTGTGAGATCACATTTCCGATATCCGTACCGTTGTGAGGCAGTAACTGGTACTACTAAACTTATTCACCACGTTTATCRAACTGAAAACGAACAGAACAATTCCGATCACCTCCCAATCATTTCTTCAAAATACGAACAAAATCAATCCCCCGTTGTCAACAAACGAAAAGTGTATCGGAAATTCTCGACTAACATCAACTCGCGAATGAATACACAAATCGGATCAGAAATTTTAAGACGATACCAAAAGATTGCGCTTCTACCGAATCATAAAACAAGGAAAAACACAATCCTAACTAAATGCTGGTTAGCAAAATTGTTCAAAGYATCAAAATGGCAAAACCAATCGTTCTCGGAATCGCCGGCGGTACCGGAGCTGGGAAGGTAATCATCAACTGTGGGTTGCGTACCGTAAATGGGATCTAATTTTGTGATATTGATGTGAAGTCGATATTATTCACCAAATACATCTGTCCCCCATTTGTTTCTGTGCTCACTTTGACAGCATGCGATCATATTCTTTGCAATCCTTATGTACAACACAGACAACGTTGTCGAAGGCCGTCTACAATGCTCTGGGGGGCGAGGCCAATTGTGTGTACCTGACACACGACCATTACTACAGAGACCAATCACATAAAACGCTAGAGGAGCGATCCAAAACAAATTTTGATCACCCAGATAGCCTCGAAACGGAACTGCTCGTAAAACACCTACGAGAACTAAAGGAGGGAGGAATTGCTGTTCTTCCAACCTATGATTTCAAGACTCACTCCCGCACACCCGTCACTACCTTAGTAAGTATCGACGTTTGATGCGAAGACGGATAGCCGCGTTGTGTGGTTGATTGACCGAGTCTGGGCACAAGAGTTAACGAGTGTTGATGTTTGGCGCTACCAATGCCCTACCCCTTTTGGCTTACCCAGCGTCCTATTCGCCAACGAAAACAGGTCCATCCGAAAAAGATTATAATTGTCGAAGGAATCTTGATTTTTACCAATCCCGAGCTTTGCAGTGAACTCGACATGAAAGTGTTTGTGGTAGGTTTCCATTTGATCGTGTGTTTCCGTAGCATTGTACCGGATTGTTGCGTTGTTTTGTGGTGTGGTGACATATAATGCAAACCGATGGCTCCATACTAATATTTTTCCTTTGCATCAACTCCGACGCTGCATCAGGATGCGGATAGCGACACAAGGGTGCTCAGACGAATACGGAGAGATACAGTTGAACGTGGTAGAACTACCGAATCGTAAGTAAAGAGTGATGATTTAACAAGGGGGTTGTTGTACAGCAGGGCTGGGTCTTCTTTGATGGTACAGGGCGCATGAGTTCTTTGTTCTCACTGTGAATGCTCCGTGGTTTGCGTTTTTTTGTGATCGGGCTCGAAAAGAATCATCACACAATACGAAGCACACGTCAAACCTATGCACACAGAATGGGTAGAGCCATCTAAGCTCAAGGCTGATGTCATTATAAACTCGGAGAGGGGAACAAGCCAAAAAATTGCCATCGACATGCTTAGTAATCATCTGCGAGTTGCAGCCGACCTCGAAGCACCTTCGTCGTCATAAATCGCAATTTTGGCATTGTGGGGTAGTCCCAGTGCCTATTGCAAAAATACCAACGGAAGAATAGTCCGGGAGCTAAAATCTGCTGCATTATCATAACCGCAAAAAAATAAAGCTTACACAGCGTATTATAATTTAGAAGTATGTGATGGATTCGAGCAGCCAAGGTTTCAACAATAATAGACAAGAATAATTTTAGTTGATATTCATACATACGGTAGGTGACATATTTAACCTTCAGCTGGAGGGACAGAGAGTTCTTAACTTCCTAGACATATGTCCCTCCTCCTGTTTTCTGCATTTCTGTGTGCACGCCAACTTGAAATTTGACAGTAATGAAAAATCATTCTTAAAACCCAGGTCACTTTCTGCGTTACAGAAATGCCAATTTGAAACAAGAAATCTGGATGTGTAGACATTTTCAATCCCCTTTCAAAAACCTCCGGTCATTGCGAATCTCTCGAAAGTCGTTTTTCTCCTCATAGACCTTTGTCGACGTAATCCAATCTCTTTCCCACGACCTTATTTGCTTTCTTTCGTCTGAAATATCGCACCTTTGACATGATCAAGTCAAATGTCCACTTCAAATTCAAAATACAGAAGATGGACTGTAAAATTGGCGGAATCAAACCAACATTGATATACGTTCCCACTCGTTTGGACTCTTTATGGTGCTCTTTGACAAGGTATACGAGCATCATGGGATACAAGAATACTCGAATCGAAAACCATGTCACATAGAAACAAATACTGATAATTTTCAGCCTGATGGAAACAAAACTTAGATCAATAATCCATGGCGGAAAGCCCTGCTTGTTGAAGACTCTTCTTGCGATCAAGAACCACGTGTTGATTTCAACACTCATACAGACACCCATGCACCAACGATACTTTGGCCGGTAAAAAGGAAGAAGTAGATACAGCATCGTGACAATGTGATGCTGGATGATTACCATCGGCGACTTCACGCATTTTGGAACAATCAAAACCCAAAAGAAATCAGTCACGAAGTAGGTCACGGTGGCCCAAAAGAACATATCAAACCATTCACCGGTCCAGGCATCTGCTAGGTGGTATTTCTTTCCTAGGGTAAACAACCGGTCCCAATTCCAGTTCATCACGTTCAGCACGATGATTGGAATCAACACAATCAAGTTGAAGAAATCGTGCGAATCTCTAGCCCAGTCATCTTCGTAATTGGGAACACCAGGGAGCGCCAATCGTTTGCCCACAATGTTCTTTTCGACATTATAGTGATCTTCAATCAAGGATTTTTTCAATTTTGGCGGGGCGGAACGCGATCGTCGCCGCAATGTTTTTCGCATAATAGCTATAGGACTCATGGGGTGGTGGATACCTCGCCGGAGCGCTGGCGCTGGCGACGGTGGAGGCGTACTTCGATTTGCATCCGAGCTCATCCCTTTAGATTGACCTTACTCTGTAAAGCTGTAGTTTTTGTAATACTCGTTGGCTCGCGGTGTTATTCCAGGGTTGTACTTGGTTGCAGCTGTTTGTTTTGTTTGTCGAAGGRTACAATGACGTTTACGAATACATTTTGTTACTGTAAGATTCGGAATTCGACAGTTTTTTGCACGTGCAATGCCGTACAGGAAATGAATTTTGATCGTTTGGTTTCACGAGTTACCGTTGCGATTGCATTATTTTAATTATGTTGAAGTGACACAATCCGTGAACAGAAACAGATTTTTAAATTTTCAAATGCGATAGCGAAGACATTGGTTCACTCCCGCATACATATTTCCATGAATCATGTTGATTTCAATTTTTTGGAAAAAATAGATTCCCAGGAGAGCGCCCGATTCCAGGTCTAMTCAGTCCCGTATGACTAAACTCAACAGATGAAGTCCAATGGGTGATTCCTGCAAACATATTAATATGTAAAAATGAGGCCAGCCGGCTCGAAAAAATATGTAAATTGCATATGTTTTAATTGGAATCCTTGACTTAACCATTTCCAGTCTCGGGAGCAGGCGGGCCCTAAACAGGCGCCAAACTTCTTTCGATTCAAGTGTCAAGAAGAAAAAAGCACATGATCTTTGCAAGAAAAGAGAAGGAACGAGGACAAAGAGAGAGAAGGAACAACAAAGAGAAGGAAAACCAAAGAAGAGGAACAGCTGTGTGACAATGCTGATGCTGGTGATGGCTGGCGCATGGAGCCATCCAGATTCTTCTGTTGTGGAGGAGGGAAGAGAGCCGCCGGCGCTGTCTTGAGAGGGAGGAAGAAATCCCGCATGTGATTCACATACCGGTACTCTCCTCCTCCTCTTTGCCAGCTCATAAAAAGAACAGAAGGATCACCATGGCTCCAGCTCCACCAGCAACAGCTGCAAGGTCGACGGCAACAGCGACAACAGCTGCAAGGTTGGCCCCAGCAACAGCAACAGCAACAGCAACAGCTGCAACGTCAAGGACTGCAAGGCCGACTCCTGCAAGGCCGACTCCTGCAAGGCCGACTGCAAGGCCGCCTGCTCACCAAGAAAGAGGTGGAAGATCCAGGGGAGCCACCAACTACACCAGGAGCGAGACAATGTCCCTGCTGACAACCATGAGGAGGATCCTTCCTATTGGACCAGAACAATGGAGAGAATTCATTGATACCCATGAAGAGAACTGGGGGACTGGAAGAGACAGAGATTCAATCACTAGGAAGTATRCGTCCCTCCACAGGAAATCCGCTCCTACTGGGAATCCAAACATCGATCCAGCTGTCAAGCTGGCAAAGGAGATCAAGAATCTCATTGGTGCCAAGGCTGCTTGTGGGGATGGAGAGGAGGACTTTGATATGGAAGAAGGATACATTATTAGTGAGGAAATCGGCACTTTCGAGAACAACACCAACGCCAACACCAAAAGTCCTCCTCCTCTTGGACAGCCTTCGCAACTTACTCAGCAAGAAGGAATGACACCAACACAGCAGGTCACTYAACAAGATACTCAAGATATGACACCAACGCAGCTTGGTGATGAGATTCCAACTCAGCTGGTGGATGCTGTTGTTCCACAGAGTACTCCACGCCCACCACGTCCTCCTGCCAAGAGACCATACTCAAGATGCACATCAAGAGTAGGAAGCAGCCTCAGCAGCACCGACTTCCAATCCCTGTTCCAGATGTCACTGCAACAGCAAGAAGCCCTTGCTATCCAGTCCAGGGAACAGCATCAGCAGTCCATGGAAATGAATCAGCAACTGTCACATCAAAGCATGGCACAAATCAAGACAATGGTTGCTGAGATTGCTGGTGCTTTTCTGCAACGTCGGAAGAGGAAGAGGAAGAAGAACAAGAAACACAACGTGTTAGCATCCTCCTCATCCTCGTCCTTGTCAGATGATTCAGAATAACAATCCCATGGTCATTTAGTAATTATTATTAATCTAAACTAGTTTGCTGATTGCTGTTTGCTCCCCCCCATGGTACTGATTGCTGATTGCTGTTTGCTCCCCCCCCGGGTTGCAATTTATGAATACTGGATGCAAAACACTGGTTGAAGGAACCTACGCGATACGCCATGTTATTCCAATACAAGCCACGCGTTACACCGTGTTATTTGTAGTTTTCGTGCATACCTTCCCACCAAAACCGGCACTGGTAACAAAGGGGGAACGCTCCCTGGAACGCTCCATGTGCAACGCGTTCCGTGGGATTGTTTCCATGTGCAACGCGTTCCCCTTCTATTACCAGTACCGGTTTTTGTGGGAAGGTATGCAAGAAAACAGGTATGTCAAAAATAACACGGCGTATTGTGTGGCTTGGATCTGGAATAACACGGTGTATCGCGTAGGTTCCTTCTTTCTAGAGTCCCTTTCTTGCTCAGCTCATTGTTCATAATACTACTAATTCAAACTAACTGGTGTAACTGCTACTAATATTAATCATTGACTAAAGAACTAAATGAAACTAAATGAAACTAAAGAACGACCATGGCGGATCCCCCCCCAACAATCGACAATCAGCACAACAATCGACAATCAGCACAACAATCGACAATCAACACAATCGACAATCAACACAATCCCCCCCCACCAGCACGCAACAATTGAATTAGCGTCTCCATCAGGGCCCCTCTCATAGGAGAAATATCCTATTTTGCGTTGTGCATACATGTCCCTCATCTCTTCATACGACTCAAAGCCATTGGTATCACTCATGAATGTGTTGAGGATCTGATTAACCCCCACTGTGCTGCATTGATAATTATACAACAAGAACAAGAGATTAAGAATGACCTTCTGGTCTCCAAGATCTTCCAAGGTAAGCCTCTCCTTCATCTGCGGAAATTGCCCTTGAATCATTCGCATGCCCCATTCTGATAGCTGGCRGACAGCTGTTGCTTGCCGATTGATTACTATTGCCTGGTTGTTCTGTGCCATTGTGGGGAATTTATCTGGATCATTTTGCTGGCTTTGGATGAGATACTTAGCTTCTCTCACCCTGAATGCGGAATCCACAACAACCTTCCCCCCTGTCCTGTTATATACCCTTTCTGCCTTCTCATATAGGCCATAATCTGCCATGGTGCTGTCATGTATACTCCCTGGAAAGTTAAATGTGGCTGTCCGGATTCTCCCATCTGGTGCAAAGAGAAGGACACTATTGACGTACGTGTCACTAACCCATGAGTTATAATAAAGGGCTTGAATATCCCAGTTCATGGAATGCTGAAGTTTAATTTTCAGTCCATCTGCTGCACCCCAGACCTTATGTGCTCCAAGCSCAGGATATTTCCTTCCTATTGCTGCAACATATGCCTCCACTTCTTCATCGGTTGGGGGCCTAATGATTGCTTTTGGGTGTTTATRCAACAAAAAAAGAAGGACTCGTCTAGAAAATTTCAACCATTTATAGAGGGGTGTCGAGGTAAGCCCAAAAACMATACTCAATGTTCTGGCTGATGATCCTCTTGTTCTGTACCAAGTCAAGGCTAATCCAAGTCCAACTTTAGCAGTGAGTGCCCTCTTATTGCCCTTTGGTTTGCCTTTCTTAGTGAACCTTACTGGTCTGATCTCCAAGGTGTTTTTGTCCACTGTATATGCATTGAAAACTGGTTCAAAAAGGCTGAGGAGATCTCTAAAGACAGGATGGTCGACGCCACAACAGTTTAGAAGAGCCTGATTATCACCACTATCAAACAAATGAGTGAATGGGGATTCATTAGACTCCATGAGTGCAATTYGTGGAATCCTCCTGTCAYGACGACGCCTGTCTTCTTCAGACAGTCTTTGTTTTGCTGGTGTCCTCCTCTCCTCTTGCTGCCGGCGCTCTTCTTCCTCGAGGGAAGCTGCCCAGGCAATTAAGACCATCTGAGGGGTCATGATTGTAGAGTAGTGTCGTGGTGTTTTTACTGTGAATGTGAAGGAGGAATAGATAGCCAAATAGTGAGGATACGGACTGTTTTTGTTGTTGTTATTCTTTTGGAGGAGGATTTAGTTTTGGAGAAGGATTCAGTTTTCAAGGATTCTGTTTCCGAAGTTTTGAAGGCAGAGCTGGTTTAGTGAAAATCCCAAAGTTCCCGCCACTTTGGAATTTTGTCAAATTGCATGCAATTTATACAGGATTCCAAATTCTGAAAATGGGGGGAAAATATGTAAGTTGAGCTGGCAGTCTGTGTCTTCTGTACCACTGAAAGCGATTCCCGCTGACATAAACCAAAATATGTTTRCCGGAATCACCCAATGTCATTGCGCGGGACCTCCATTTTTATGTAAAACAGCCGTACTCTGTTTTGGGGGCGTTATGTCTTTCAATTTTTAGGGGAGGCCTAAGTTAATAAAATTAGTATTACTTCGCCGAAAATAAAATTTTATTAAGCTGGTAATAAAATTTTATTATGATTTTTTTATTCCAATAATAAACTTTTATTTCCAGCTTGATAAAATTTTATTATTTCCTTGGTGGGTGATCTTGGAATGGTATTAAATCAACACGGCAGCCAGCACAAGTACGTACTACAGGCTACCGGCCGGTACTGCTTGTATTATACGGAGGCAGAGCAACAACTACTATGTTTAATTAAGGGGAATATTTTGTTCTTATGGAATAATAAAATTTTATTTACAAGTTAATAAAATWTTATTATTGTTTTATTATTGGGTTAATAAAATTTTATTAACGGCGTAATAAAATTTTATTAACTTGTTAATAAAAATGACTTCGCCGATTATAAAATTTATGTTTAAGGGTCACCCCAAAAGAATAGAACCTTGTTAACCCCTTTCCTAAAGAACCATTCGATTGGAAAAATAACCCTTATTCACATGGAATAACGTTAAAATGTGCGCACTATCACGCGAAAACTGAAAAATCTTCATTCGGGCCCTCTCCAGGCCCCCCTTCTGGTACCAAAAATTGAAAATTGTGATCAGTTTTGGTCACAAAAAAATGTGATCAGAAATAACAAATTTGTGATTAGTTTTTTGTGATCAATCTTGATCACAAATTTGAACTGATTTGCATAGATTAAATACTAGTAGTCCTGTTATTATATTCGATGTTAATATCATAATATAAATAATACTACTAGTACTAGTATTACTATATACATGCTTTTAGCTACTACTACTAGTACATCAGTCCACTAGAACATAATATTGTCTGACAATGCCTTATTAAGAATTCATGCAACACAATACTAATATGAATATTAGTAATGTATGAATATATATTATATGAATTGTATTCCCACATGCTACTCCTACTTTGAATAATTCAAATAGTATTCATGTAGTATGATGAATACGACAGTACAYATTAATTCTAGTAAGAATCTGTTGAAAAAAATGTGATCAAAACTTAGTATCACAAAAAAAATGTGATCAAGATATTCATCAATTTTGTGATCATTTCTGATCACATTTTTTGTGATCAAATCCAATCACATAATGAAAAAGGGGGACCGGAAAATTTAAATTTTCCCAATAACATCAAAATTGACATGGTTCCAGTTATGTATGAAGGAATGTTTTCAGTGGTACTAAAGACATGGTAGGCTTGCTGAAATTACATGTTTTCCCCCATTTTTGTAATTTGGAATCCCATTTTAGCTATGTAGCATGCATATCATTTAGTGTGCATGAACCGAGTGACACTGAACATGTTAAGTCAAGGATTCCACTTAATGATATGTATCTGAGTATTTGAGATGCATTAAAACAAGAAGAACTGGGCTAGTACAAATCAATTCTTAATCCCATGAGTCATTATATGGTGAAAAGATGACCCATTATCTACACACTKTGTTATTCAAGTGTGTAACTGATTTAGTCTTGAACTGGCAGTTTGAGCTGTATCTTGGTCCCCAACAGACGCTTAAGTATGAGAGGCACATGCTTAGTAGAATGAGAATCAACAGAAGATTCTAGTCATATGAGGGAGTTGGGGGGTCCCAATAGTGGAAGATATCAATATACCTGTACAAATATCACATTCAAATTCCATGATTGGATCGTGCTTTTAAAAACTACCAACCCTATCRTATAGTCAGCCAGTGGATCTATGATCCAGTCGTAGATTATGGGCTATCTTTTTGCGTGGAATGACTACTTTGACTAAAAAACTAAATTCATACAAAATGCACATGCTTAGTACTTGAATTTCCCACCAGTCATGTGACCAAATAGTTTTGCGCACACATGCTCAACTGACAATTTTGGCTTCAAACACGTGCAAATTGCTTAGTCAAAGTAGTCATTACACAGTAAAAAGATAGCCCAAAATCCACGCACAGTAGAAAAACATGTAGAACATTAAGAGAGATCCAACTCACACTAACCGCAATAACTTTGTCCCCAACAATGCTTAACAATGATAAGCACATGAATCAAATCCCAGAAAAAAGGCAAATTCAGTGATATTGGGGGTTATAGGGGTTATTAAGTATTTAATTGTATTACTGTACATATATTGTGTATTAAAAATGTAGGACTGGATAGTGTTTTTTTGAGTAGCTGAGCCTAGTATACAATACAATAGTAGGTTGTTGCACTTTTAATGTACTTACTACTTACCTTCAAACTTCTAGTAGAGGTAGTTTATAGGTACACCAAAAATCCGTTTGCTACTGAAAATATTAGCATATTGAGAATCCTCATGAAAAACTTGTCTAGACAGTGTAGTCAAAACTATAATAGAAGTATTTTTATAAAGCTATGACTACTCACAAGTTGGATAGTTTTACTTGTGTCATGCAGTAAAAATGAAATTTAAAAAAATCCTTACAGTTAAAGTGTTCTTATTCCTGCCATTGATGGAATATGGTTCCCAAAAAAGTGTTGCAGAAACTGATTGTGTTGCGCACCCCTCTCTAAATTTATGACCCCTGTCAGGTAGTTCCCTGTGGAAAACCCATCTCTTTTTAAGTCAAGTRATGATTCCACTACTATTGAGAACTTTGATGTTTTGATTTTATTGAATGAGAGAAACCAGAACCAGTTCATAAGAGCACTTCCGTCCTAGAACTACAACACAGTCATTTTCTATGGTAGATTGGACACAGTAAAACGCTGTGAAATAATGAACCACTATTTCTCTTACTGTTTAAATTCTGTTCATTGAAATGCATCACCCAAATAGAGATATAGAATTGTGAATGTAACCCAACTCATGAACTGTCTGTATTTGTACATCATCATAATCAACGTCACTAAGATTTGAGGACCTCTACTGTTAAAACCCAAAACGTTGTGCCAACATGGAGACCATATGGATTCGCAGCAGTGCCCATTTGACCAGCAACAAGTTCCTCCTGATAAATTATTCGACCCAAAACAAAGTCTGGGCTGTTTTCGATGTTATCTGTGTTCAGATACCGATGAGGACAGCTTGTATGAAAGGCAAGATATGTTCTCTTGCCAGATCCACGTCCAGTTGGCATAAAGAGCCCAACATCGCCGACACCAAAACTAGAGTGACTAATTTTATCACATTGTTTCTTGGGACTGCTTTTCTCTTCTTTTACCTTCTTCGTCGCTTCGGCTTGCACTTTGGCTAGAGCATCTTCCGCGGCAACTGCTTTCAGTTTCGTCGCCTCCAATTCTTTCCTGAGAACTTCCACTTCACTAAATGATACATCCTTTGCCTGTGCTTCCTCGATATAAGCTTTTGGTGCTTTCCCACCCATCCGCTCTAAAGTTTGGCGAAGGATAGCATTTTCGTATGCCAAAGTCTTCCTTTCTGCTTCTTCCGTTCCACCTGCAGGATTCATGATAGTATCCTCGTTCCCCGAATTTTCCTCAGCACTAACAATCAGCTGATCTCCCTGTTGATTGTGGCCGTGCGCAAGACCATCTGCTGAAGGAATGGTTTCATCCACCGTATCGGTCGCTCCGCTGGAGGATATCTTTTCTTGTTGGACATGAATATTGCTCTCGGCAAACGTCAACGAGGAGGCGCTACTTACTCCACCACCGCCGCCATCTGTACCCCCTGCTTGCATTGAGGCATCGGTTTCTATATCTTCGATTGCAGATCCAATGTCTGGCAGTGTATCCAACTCCGCTAGCGCAGGCATTTGAGGCGTAAACAATGGAGGAGGTGTTGCCAGCGTAGGTACAAAAATCTCAAAAAATGGAGGCATCAAGTGTCGACCGGATCCCCGAAGAAACTTTTCTCTCGCCTTGACTTCGTCGGCTCTCATGACGGCAAGTCTCTCCATCATTGCCGTGGAATTCGATGTAACAGCTTGACCATAGGCCCGTCGGCGCCGTAGCTCGGACAAAAAGTCCCGATAGGATGTGACCAGCTCTGAAACGTGTTCTAGGTGGATCATGTTGTCGCATTGTTGATTGAGGGCAGCCTTCAATACATTGACGCTAGAAAGAAAGCGCTGTATTGAAGACTGTGCTAAACTCACTTCTCGTAATCGTACTTTCATGCGTTTCGTTGCTTCTGTTTTGGCATCTGAAATCTTAGCCATGAGTACTTTCATGGCTTTGTCATCCATCTCCATATCCGGCACGATGTCTTTCGCATCGTTCGAAATTTGTCGCAGTGGCGTGAAAGCTTTTTGAACTTCGTCTTCCTTTCCCTCTACTACTTCTGCATTCATTGCGTCCATAATGATCTGTAGAACTTTGCCATGATCGGCCGTCAATCTCTCCACTCGCTGGGCTTGTCGGTCTCGTAGGTCTTGGACATCCCCCTGTACGACATCCGATAGTTGTTGAATATGTTCCTCGGCCATCAAATCTTGCCGTGTTTCTTCTTCTCTAGAAGYGGCAGTACCTATTTTTCCAAATTCGGCATCGACTTCGGCAAAGAGGACCAGCAATCGATCGTGCGAGGTTTTGCATTGTTGCGCCCATGCTCGTTCCCGTTCGACCGGCACCGTGTCGAGGAGCGATTCCATGATGCGCCCCGACCCACGCGCGATGGCTACGAGTGAGGGGTGGAGGGGAACGCTTCCCAGACTGGTCAGGGTCGATTCGAATCGTTGCAGCAATGATGCGTGAGCAGCTGTTTTCGATTGAAACAGGGAGGTGAATTCCGATCGTGTCCGAGCAGCCCCGTTGAAGTGATCCGATAAATTCGAGACAGCGGCTCGTAACGCCCGCGCGATGACGGCTTGCTCTTGAACACATTGTTTGCAGGCTTGTAGCCGAAGCTCGGCGGCATCGGCCAACACCCGTCCCTGGCAAAGATACAGCATGAATTGTCGCTCGTACGCAGACAGAGCTTGGTGAAGCGGCTGCGATGCTACTGCGGACTGTGTCATGTCTAGAGGTGATGAGCCCTGTGGTTGCGTGGGAACTATAACGTCCATAGGTTGCAGGATACAGGGTGGTGGATCTGGTGCATTTTCGGATAGTGCCCGTTTGGAAAAGAGGAAGAGTCGACGAGCTCCGCTACGTTCTGTGGTAGACAAAATATGTTGTTGTCGAGGACGTCCCGAAAAATCGTCATCGTCTTCCTTCGCATTGTCTGGTTCAGTTGTACCACTCCTTCGTCTACCATTCATAACAGCCTCATCTTCCTTATCTCCAAGCCGCAGCGAGTTCAGTGTTTCGATGGATTGTAGGGTGCTATCTCTCGGTACCTTGTAGGGCGGACCAAGTAGGAGGATTTGATCTGACGCCGGGACGGCAGCCGCCAAATGATTTCGTATATTTGCGACCCTGAATTAAAAAGTGCCGAGCACCATGAGAGTAACATCATGTATACAATACAACACACAAAATCACACATGTGAGAGCTAATTCCCAACRCAACAAARGCAACATCTCAACGTCCGTTTTCTTTCTTTCAAACTGAGTTTCAAACAATAGTCATCTTCCATCCATAACGCGATCGGCGACCGCAGATGTAGCACGATCTTGGTCGAACAAGATACAATCTTCGATACTCTCTCTCTCTCTCTCTCTGCCCACCACGAAGAAAGTGTGTGTTTTTAATGCTAAGCAAGTGCAAACGGGAGACAATTGGCGGTGGCCCAATTCGTGGTGACAAAGGGAAAAACCGGTAGCATCATAGTAGGACAAAGCGACTGCATAGAAAAAGGGAAATTAAACCTCGTCCGAAGCAAAGTCCGCTCTTCCTTTCTCCAATACGCTTTGATTGCGCTACGAAATGCCACGCGGAGTACCGCATAGAATTCGACGATCGACCTGAACTCACGTTAATTCTGAAGGGTGAAGAGCAATCCTATATGTGACACCGGTGCTAGCTGCAAGCACCCTGATTGTGATTGGTGATGTTGTAGTGGAGGATGGAGTTAATTTGGATGGAAAAGATGTCATCTTTGTCTATCCCATTGTTTTTTTCATCGCCACGGAGAGAGTGTAATGAATGGTGCGTTGATCTATCTGCAGTCTTTCTACAGAGTTCCAAAGAGGAATAAGCAGCACTTTCTCTGTTCTGAATCCTATCGTGATTGATTTCTGTGTCCTGTGTAGGTTTCCTGTGTCTCGAAGCGAATTTTTTCTTAATTATCGCGACGTTCCTGCGTTGAAACATGGGACGTACCGTACGATACGGTACAGCGGGGTGCACAATTTTTAAGCGAACCGTATCGTAGCGCACCTACCTTCACTGTACGGTCTAGCAGTACTTGAACTACCCGTACTGTACTCGTACCTCGTACTATTCTACACAAGGGAAAAAAGTAACTGCACGGTACAGTACCGTACGTTGCCATGTAATAAACCAGAACAAGAACTCGGAATGGGGCGTGTATTTTTAGTTGCATTTTCTGTCGTGTCGTGTGTCGTGTGTTCAAACTTCCAAACCATTACGGCTACGGCTACGAGTAAGTACTTGGTACGTACTCGTGCTGGTACCGGTAGGCTAGGGGTGCTTGCACTTGTATTCACAATTCAGAGCATCAGATAGGTAAGACTCAAGAAGATTATTTTGGTCACGAACGGAAATGTCGAATATCCATCGATCCTGAATTTCAGAACATCCTTTTTGTTACTGTACGATACGAACACCACTACTTCGATTTGAAGTGCAGATTGGTCACAGCAACAACGACGAGATCGGATCGGTTCTGGAAGGAGGCAGATCAAAAGAGAAGACTTCAATAATCTTATCGATGATCAAGCGTTCAAGTAAACACGGCAAGATAAACAATGAACGATCGGGAGCTGGGATCCCTCCCGGCCGCAAAATCGGCACTGGAGGCACCGTTGGACGATGATCGATCTCTGCGCGTTCCTTGCTACTGCGAAGAGAACGTTTGGCGCCTCGCGTATCGAAAAACCTATCTTCAGAAACATCAAAACAAGATAGACACGCCGAACAAATCGTGTTCGTATCACGTGGCGTTTGTCTCCAATCCCAAGGGATGCGTTCCGATGTTTGAACAAGTCGCGGCAGCGGACCGAGAGAATCCTGTCTTCTGGGACTATCATGTAATACTGCTAATGTGCGAAGAGGACGATTCGTCAACAGCACGAAAGGGGCACGTCTTTGACATTGATAGCCATCTACCGTATCCGTGTCCTCTTGATGAATATATCGAAAGGGCATTTCCAAACCACACAGAATGGAAGGACGAATATTTACCATTTTTCCGGTAAGCAAATATTTTATCATGTAAAAGCGCACAACGTGTTCACAGGAAGTAGGTGTCGGTAACGACGTGCAGATCACTTCTGAAACTCATATCCTCGTTTCTATGGAAAAGTGTTGTTGATGCTTCGGTGTATTTGCGCCATTTCTCGAGTGATCGTTCGCATATGTTTGATAATGAGAAAAAGAAATGGAATGCCCCGCCTCCACTCTACGACTGCATTGTGCCATCGGAAACAAAAAAAAGGATTGATTTGAACGGCACGAATAACAACACTTCAACCACCACATTTCACCAATACATGACAATTTCCAAGAATGATGTCGTAGACTCTCGACAACAGCATCAACAACAAAATAGCAAATATGAAGACAGCCCATTTGGTAGGATATACTCCTTGTCTCAACTTATACAACGATTCGGGATCCACAAATAACACCTGTTCACTGTCACGGGGAGATAAATCAACGTGATAGATCGTTACAGAAATTTTGTTCCCTTTGCAACAAGAGTGTGCGCATACGAGGAGATACAATGCGTCGTCGTCGTCATATCATGGATCAATGGTATCTTTCAGATCCAATAATTGTGTATACGAGAATCTTTGAAAGGGAGATGAAGCGATGGCGGTCTGTGAAACAATCTAGAAGTAGTGTTCTCGCGATCTGCAAATGTTTCATTGAATTCGTTTGGAGAAAGATTCGGAATGACAGTTTGCACTTTGAGTTGCAATTTGTTTTTTTCGTGTTCTAGAATGCTTCACCCACTGCTATTCAAATGCATACTAATTAGCATGTACCTCGCTCGAATAACAAACATAATAATAACATGATCGGGCACCACTTTAATTATTGTTACTTTCGATACACAAAAAATTGGCGTACTATGACTCGTTGTGCAACTCATATCCCTTATTCCTTGCCTGCACCCATGAGAGGATGACATTGTTGATAATATTTTTATGCTATGCAATAGTTAGAGTTTCCATTGACCACAGTTTTTCCACATCCAATAATGGCCCGAATTAATTGTTCAATTTTCCACATGGTAGAATTGGGTTGTTACTGCTCTGACTTTGAGCATGTTTCGCAGAAAAAAATGTTGTTCAGTTGTATTTATGATTTAGTTTGTAGTTTCGACATGAGTTTGTTATTGACCGTTTGCCACCTTTTGACTTCCGAGTCTTTCGCCTGGAGTTGTTCCTGGAGTTTCTTGATCTGTTCACGCATAGAAGCGATTTCTTCTTTGACCTCCGACTTGCCGCCCTCTTTGAGCGATTGCTGTTGAATCTTCGCCTCTCGTAAAATCGGACGCGCCTCCCAGTATGCCATATTTTGGGCTGTCCGATTGCTTTTCAGAAATGGAACACGAATGGTGCCAGCAGCTATAGATGGGCATGCGTTACTAGAGTTGGCCGATTCGATACCATCAGAGATATACTTCTGAAGAGGAGTTACCAGAGTTGAAAAACTCGATAAATTCTTGCTACTCCCAGCGGGCGAATGAAATATTCCGGACGACGGAGGAACATCAGGCTGTGCTATAATCCGTAGCGAAGTGACAGGATGAGTAGGCGATTTCTTTTTGTCATCGGCGTTGCTTGCGTTCGCGAACGCGGAGGACCATGGGTGAACGACACTCAAACAGGTCCGAGATTCTAGTTCCCAAATGCGAATCTGGCCAAAGCTGTCTCCGCTAATCATTTTTCGTGGCTCGGACTCTGTCAACAACGCGATCGAAGTTACGGCGTGGTCGTGACCAATCCAATCTGTCCGATACCCTTGTTCCTGGTTATTGTTGTCGCCCTTTGAATTCTTGATAGTGTCAGTCTTTTTCTTTCCAAACACTTTTTCTTCTAATGTCCAATTCTCGGTTGATTCTGTATCCAATTGCTCCTGACGTCTTCGTTTATTGGCAAAAATGGCACCTAGCTTTTCTGTTTCGTGCATGGCATAAGCATCTAAATCAACAGAAAATATCGTCCCTTGCGTCGAACCTGCATAGAGTCTACCGTTGTAGTGCTCCATGCATTGAATCCCATGAGGAAATTGGATATTGACTAAAACTTTTTTCGAAAATAATTCAAGGACTAGAACCTGGCCGTCCTCTGCGGAGGAGGCGATACGTCCACCCGCAAGTTGGACCAAGCTGGTGACAGGAAAATGATGTACGGAAAAGGTATGGATTGGCGGAACATTGCGCTGTTTCGAAATTTTGGCGGAGCTAGAAGCGACGTCCACGAGACTCATCAATGAAAAAAGGTGAACCATTCCATCGGCACCACCGGTCACCAAATACCGCCCACAATCGCTCCAAGCGATACTTGTAACAGATCTATAGTGTGCCTTGATGGTTCTGAGAAGCTCGCCTCCTATCGAAGACCACACAAAACAAGAACCCGAGGAACCACCACCGACAACATAATGTCCGCATGGTGAAATGGACAATCCACCACTCATTTCTGTTTCAGGAAGTCGGCATTTCCAGTGCATGATAGGTGGTGATGAGGATGATCGAATCGATATAAGCATTCCATAGTTGTCGCCTCGTTTAACACAGTTTCCCCCGTAGCCAATCACAGGCTGCGTATTGTCCCCACCACTTCCAACATTGTTCGCTTTCGAAAATTCTTGAGGGAAAGAACACAAGGAAGAGATTCCCATTCCAGCTCTACCAGATAGATCGGCGCTCGATCGAAGCGATGACAAGATTGCACCGTTTGGGTCCAATATGGTCAAAGAACCACCGCCACCACTCGGGGGAACGTTTGTGGATGGTTTTGACGTTGTCGCACTAATTATGTACTTCATTGTCGATAGAACTCCTATTATAACTTTCTTTTGATCAATCCCATTTCATTCAACATGTTTGAAATGACGTACTGCCAAGATTTCCACAGAAAAAGAAGAGTAATTTCCAATCAAAAAAATTCTGATTTCCTGATTTCCTGATTTTCGTGGTTCTCGATAAAAACCGAATAATACACTAGTACGAAGTACAGTAGTAATTAACTGCTCTACGTACGTACGTACCGTACCCATCTCATACAGATTAGCAAGTACGTACGTAACATACCAATATAAAATATGTACTGTAGTACAGTACTTGTACTTTGTAAATATATTTTTGACTAGTTCGACGGCTACTGGGAGGGTTCATTATTTTCAATTATTTGACAGAAGTATTTGATTCAATCGACTCCTCTTTTATATTTATTCCTTTGATTCATATTCATGTTGTTGGTTCCTGCCCGCTTGCTTGAGCGACTAGCGAGGACGCAGATGATAAAAAATGAAATGCCCATGATAAAAAGGAGATTTAGGATTAAATGAGCGAATAAAAAGTTCTAAATTTTGATAGTCCGTTCAAACAATTAAGGAGAGTCAACGGATGAACGACTCTAAATAACCATGTCAAAAACGAGGACATTTTTTGTATCTAAATTTCCCTTCATTCATCGCACTTCTCAACTGCTTCCATTCGCTTATTTCCGAAAAGCTCCATCTGCGAACAGTGTTATCTCTAACTCCGAAATCATTCACAAAGCTAAGAATCGCAAGTGGTGCTGGAGATGATGGACAATTGTTGTCATGAAGACTAACAATACGGGAATATTTTTAAAAACTTGCGACGATGTATGGTTCTAGAATGGCATCCTTCAGCGGTGGTGGCGGCTCCTCGGTGTCAGAACGGAAAAAGTTCTTCGAAAACTGCATCAGCGAACAAAAGCAAAGAGAATCTCTTTACGCTCCACCCTCAGTGGCAAGTACTACGTCTCGAACAACTGATAGTTGTATGTCAAATGGATCGAGAACGTCAGAGTTTCTCGAAGAAAGATCGGATTCTGAAAGTTTATTTCACAACATCAGTGACAGGACGGACCCCGACGAATCATATGGCACATTCGGAACGTTCTTTACAAAATCAGGATCTACTTCGGACTCAGATTTCCATCATTTTACTAGATCAGAGTCCGATTCAGAGCCTGATTCAGATGTAAATTTTCCTTTGTTATTCGAGCAAGAAAATATATTTTATGAATCGAACGAGAAGAACACTTCACTCGGTATTACATCAATCAATTGTGACGAGGATGTGAAAGGAGATTCAGTTCCTCAAAGCCATTCTTACCTACAAAAAGCGCAGAGCTTAGACGAAAAACTTCTTCCGTTTCTGGACGAAGAGCTGGAGGAAGAGCCAGGAAGTCAAGCCTTTGTAGAAGTTCCAAATCACAGTTCGGATCTAACGTCTACTTATGGGCGTGTGAATACATTTGAAGAATTCGACGCCTGGGTTTCAAACCACATTACTTCCTGCTCAGAGAAGAAGGACAAGGCGATTGAACAAGAAAATGAAATACAACGTGGAGTTGAAGAAAGTGAAATCCAACGTGTGGTCAAAATTCAAGTCACAACTACACCAGCGCCGACGAAAGATTTTCAAGGCGTAGATGATTTTGCGGCGAAGGGGAAGAAGAACATTGATGTGATGATAGCAGAGTTTCAGAAGGTGTCTTCGGAGCTTTCGAAGGAATTATCTTTCACACCTCCCACGAGTCGTTCAAATTCGGATGATTATTCGAACAGTCAATCGTACCATGCCAGTAATCAAATAWATGAAATTCCCAAAGACAGTACCACTCATCCTACCAATTCAGCAGAAGAGAGTTTATCGTATAACTCCCTTCCTGCACTATCAATTGATGATATCAATATACTGAAGGAGATACACGAGAAACAACTTCCAACTGATGTGTGCATCAGTAAAGATTACGTTTGCGCATCTGAGAGTACGGATTGTTCGATCGACAGTTTAGGTAATGCCGAAACGACGAAATCAGTATGTTCGAGGTCGGGAAAATCGTTAGGGTCGTTGCGATATCTCAGACGAAATAAAGGTGAAGGAATGGGGAAAATGCTCAAAAGAGCCAAGAAAGGAATGGGAAAATCTGCGAAAAACATTTCATCGCTCATGAAGAAAACCGTAAAAAGCAAGACAGCGAAGGAGCTTTCTGCGAACGAGAAGCAAGCGTCGAAGGCAAGTGCTGATCACAACCAGTACAGGGATTTCTTCAATGAGAAGTTAGCCGAATTGCTGATGAGACGTCACAAAGGAATATCAAAGGCAAGCCAATACCTTACCACTGGCAAAAATTTATTGAACAATGGAGCTCAGTACAAGAAAAATCACGATTTTGTAAGATCAAAAGAAATGATTCAGAAAGCTCACACATATGCCTTTGTTGGTAGACAATTGGCGAAACAGTATTTGTTAGAACACCAGGACGAGATTTACGATTCAACAACTATGATGACACAAAGTGATCTAACATCATCAGAAAACGAAGACGCCATCAATGCATTCGAAGACTTCTTCTTCGCATTTTTGCATTGCGTCGGCCCGTGTTACGGCTATGAAGATAATCATGGGGAAATCCAGGTTCACGATACACTCGAAATCCTTAGCAAGGTTTCCGAAGAAGAAACAGATGCAATTAATCGCCGACTGCCAAACAACGGAACCGTAAATGATGGCAAAGAAAAAATAAGAGCTGCAATCGAACGCGCTCTTCAACAAACCGACAGTTTTGATCAGAAAGACGAACACGAAACTGCTCAGGATAGAAATCTGGCCATTCGCCAATTCCTGTCCGATCTACAATCCTTCTACCAGGTTGACACCTTTCTAAACCTGTCTTCTGTTGCTTTAAGTCGGAAGTGTACTTCCGAAAGCACTCGAGAGGGAAATTCTTCAAAAAGTCAGATAGAACAGGACGGTACGGATGAAACCGAAGCTGCACAGTGTAGTGGTTCGCAAGAGGAGGGTTCTCAAGAGAGCAAGTTCAGTATGATTAGTAAATCGTTATCTGACAATTGTTCCGGTCGAAGTAGTTTTCTTGCTTGTTCCGTTAGCACAACAAGATCAATGAGGCCAGAAAAGACAGTGAAGAGATCTAGGTCCAAGGAAAGAGAGGGACGAAAAGAAGAGTCGCAGGTAAAAGGCATTGAGCCGGGAACAACAGTTCTAAAAATTCCGATGAAAAAGAGAGGAAGGCTGAAAAATAAGACGAAACCCACTAATGATAACAAAAAGAAAAAATGGCTATCCGCCATTCGAATCAAAAGGAAGGCATAAACAACCTATGGATCAATCGATGGATGCATAGAGGTCTTCCGCCAGTCGACGCAAAAGGAATACGTAAACCATGGATCAATCGATGGATGCATGGAATTCTTGTTTTGTATCGGTTCGCCTCCAGAGGGTTTCATGATGATGCAAACCCCAAGATGTACGTAATTTTAATCATATAATACATAACATAATGCTATGCACTCCCACATCGACAAGTTATTGCTACAGTTTGTTTGGTGAGGTAAAATCCAGTTGCTCTCCGGCGCTACCATCGGTGCCAATTCCCATCCCAAAATTGACGTAATCCGGTCTCTCGCAGGCGCGGTATTCATCCATTAGCGATTGGACAACCTCCCTCGAATGGTCGAACTCGTCCATCATCGATCCCTGAAAGCATTCTTCCTTGCGGAAATTGTCTAGAAAAGCGTTCCGGGACTTGATGCGATCGTATTGCTTGAGCAAACGTTCGAAGAGTTCCGCCATGGAGGTGTGGTTGGCGAGCATAAACCCACTCACCTTGTGACGGTGCTGTAGRTAGGGGGATTTACGAGCCATTGCCACCTGAATGCTGGCGGGTCCCCATGGGATGAACGGAATATCGCCGTGGGCGTGGCCATAGTGCCGTTTCTCCCGTATCCTCTGGAGAGCCTTGTGGATTTGTGTAGGGTTGATGTCGTTGCCCTGAATAATGTTTAAGATAGAAATATAGCAGCCGCTGCCTCTTCCTCTCATATTGGCGGATACCATGATGTTTTTTGGTTGTGTGAGACGCCTCATAACATCCAGAACGGTCGTCTTTCGAATCCCCGTGTTTTGTCCCTGTTCATGTTGTTTCATGCGGTTGTCGTTGGCGGACAAATCGCCGACAGACGAGGAGTCCATCGCTCCGGGGACGTTGCGGCTCCCTGCAGAGCCTGTTGAAGCCTCCGGCAAAACAAGAGGTGTGTATCCCGTCATCAAAAAGTGACACCTAGATTTGTTGTTGGGTCGGTGTGTTCGTGTGTGAGAGAGATATGGTGTGAGATAGATACAGAAAGAGAAATGCTCGCCAAGTCGGAACCTTTTGAGGCCCGATTCTTGTTCAGCACAAGGTGTCGAGATGCCAGATTCTGTTCCAACTGACAACCCGAAGACACGCAAAGGAGCGAGCTGCCATGGCATACGGTGCGTACCTAGGGGTCGGAATCAGGGAGGCAAGCAGTCCTATCCAGTCGTTGTTCATGTATCCCGGATATCGCAAGGTGGTTGTCGAGGCGGCCATGATGGTAGCCACCAAGCTGTTGATGTGGTCCACGGAAGGATTCTGGATCCTCAGTCGATCGACAGCTATCCGGTTCAGGGCCGAATTGTCTAGGACCACAACGGCATCGGCGTTGAGCGTGAGCCGTTTCATGGTCAGCAACGAATTGTATGGCTCGACCACTACATCGCTCTGGTCTTTCCAACTCGGGAAGACCGAGTAGGTCTGGACCAGCTTTTTTGGAAAATGGTCGTTCAGACGTTCCAGCAGAAAGGACCCCATTCCGCTCCCCGTTCCTCCCGCGATGGAATGCGTGAGTACAAATCCCTCCAGAGAGTCCGAGTTGTCGCTTTCCCGATCGATCATATCCAGAATGGTCTCGATGTGTTCGGCCCCCTGCCGGTAACCGGAAGCCCAGTTGTTTCCGGCGCCGCCGCCGTCCTCGGCCACGAACAAGTTCTCTGGATTGAAGAGCCGGCGGTAGGCCCCGGTGTAGGCCACCTTGTTGATGACGCGGGGTTCGAGGTCCATCAGTAGCGCCCGGGGAATGTACCGATCTTCGTCGCCCTGGTAAAAGAAAACGTCCTTCCTATCGTCGGCCCGGAAGGGGCTGCCCCCCCTGTGGTTCCCCCAGGCAACAGACGAGGTTCCGCCCCGGCTGGCACCGGACGAGAACTGCGGCGGTCCTGGGGTCTGCGCATGTGCTTGTGTTTGTGTTTGTGCTTGTGCTTGCGCCYGTGCGTTGTTATGGTAGTTCCCAACGATGTTGKTCACGTTCGATGGGTCGTCCCACGGGTTCTTGGGCGTTCCGTCCGGTGCGATCCCGTGCTCCGCGCACAGCTGCTTCCAAAATTCCCCGCCGATCTGATTTCCGCATTGCCCCACCTGCAGTGTGATTATTTCTCGCGGCATTTTGTGGGTCTGGGTACATGCACGGTGGTATAGTGCAAAGACCAGTGCTTGCTATGGCGCAAACGGTTTTCTTTCTCGTCGTCAATGAACAATTACAATGCTGTCATTGTCGGCTGTACCTAGGAGATACTCCTGGGGATCATTTTTTTGGTATCGATTGTGGCAAAAAATCGTTTGTTGTTGCGATCCATCACAGATTGAAGGTCAGAGTAGTTTACGTATCTATATTACATATGAATCATACAATGTTATATTAGCCATCCAGTCGTATCCAAGCGGCAGCAGATGGCATTGGCGCGCAAAGAATTCGAACCAATAGTTTCTTCTTTCTCCCTGACTGATTGAATCGGGCGATCGCAGACGACGACCAGATTCGGTTTCTGGACGAAGAACACGCAACGCACTTTTTCGAAGGTTGTGTCAAGCGTTGTTTTTGTTTCTTGCAGTACAGTTCGGTACGTACGAGTACTTCTTCAAGGCAACTATCCCGTAGAAAAGCACCCGGTTATACCATCAATTTCCTACGGAAGGTCCGAGTACGAACTACAGTACCGTACGGTACCAGGTTACAGGCGTCGATTGCTTGTTACGAGCGAGAGGATGGATTACGTCCACGACGGACACGGGAATTGCGCTGTACGATACCAACACGTGGGGTACAGTACAACGCAGAACATTACAGTCGCCCGAAAACATCAAAAACGCCTCCATCAGACACGAAATATGGTGTTGTTCGTTCTGATCTTACTGATGCGTCATGCCGAAGATTAATAGAGACTGAGCGTCGATTCGATTCTTCCTGGCAGAGTCTACATTGGTCTGTAACATCGGCTCCCGCCTCTCCATTGCARAACCACTCACACACAACGCTGTTGTGCTAACGCCCTGTCACTTACGCTTAACAAAGGCAGTTTCCACTCGCCAATAACATCGCTGTACAATCTGCAAAACATCTGTACTACGAATTCTGTCTAGTTGGTATTGGCAATCCCGATTGCCATCACCAGCATCTCGAATAACAATTTCATTGAAGCAACCGAGGTACTTCCGACTCAATCGATCATCACTAGTACGGAACGGTAAACATTAGCGCGAAAGCACATCATCGCAAACACTGGGAAATGGTGAAGGATAACAAGACGGGGAGAGTCAGCAACCTTGGGCGAACGGTGATTCCGACTCCGGCGCTTTCTTTGTCCTCTAGAAAAAGGACGAGAAAAGCCTTATCCGAATTGAAACTAGTAGGAATGATTCAAATTATGGTCGTAGCATTGGCTTTGCCGTCCTTCGTTTCGAAACGAATACCCTTCGCGACGGGCTTGCTGACGACAAGATCGATCTCGCCATCGACAGCAACCAAAGCACGAATCGGCAGAACATCGACAGAAGCCTTGCAGCTAGCTGTAGACTCGCGGGAACTCAGATTTTTTAGCAGTGGCAGCAGGAACAGCAGCAACAATGTTCTTGGGGATTACGTTGCAAACCAGGAATGGATGGTAGCAACCGCGACATCGGGAAGAACCTCCCAGCAACAAAACGTTTTGGCGCTAGCGGAAAGCGGCCTGGAAGACGCCGTCTCGGGCATCGAAAGCCAATACAACAGCAATAAAAACTTTGATCCCACCAACAGCGACAGTAGCAGCAATGCGAATGGGGAAAACTTGGATAACAAAGCCGCTGTTCCCACAGGAATCGAAGACAAGCTATCTCCTTTTTATTTCCAGAGCAAGAAAAATCCACCGAAACGAGGTTACGGGCCGTACATCAACCTTTCTCCAGAAGAACGAGAGCTGTTCCGATTGCTCCGAAGGGCCAAGGACGACGGGAAGCTTTCCACAACGCTGCGAGTCGCAGGCGGGTGGGTTCGTGACAAGCTCTTGGCCACGCCCGAGTTCAGCCGTTCTGGTTCGGATTTCAAGCGACCCACGAGACGAACGCCCCAGAGATTGACCTCGAAATACAGGGCGCCATCGTCGTTGTCAGTGTCGACATCGTCACTGACAACCACGGTGCCCTCGGCGGGCCGCCAGGGATCCAAGGTTATTGGAGGTGGAAAAGCCAAAAAGAATGGAGGAAAGAATGATCCCACCCTGCTCCGTTTCCAACAACAGGCACCTGTAGATATCGATATCGCACTCGATGACATGCTCGGACGTGAGTTTGCAGAGCACCTGAACAAATACTTGACCGAAATGGGCGAAAAAACACACGGCGTTGGCGTCGTCTTGAAAAATCCCGAGAAAAGCAAGCACCTCGAAACGGCAACCATGAAGGTCGGAACCTTTTGGATTGACTTCGTCAACCTGCGAGCCGAAGAGTACACCGAAGACAGCCGCATTCCCGACCTTATGAGGATTGGATCTCCGGCAGAAGATGCGTTTCGAAGAGACCTTACCATCAACAGTCTTTTTTACAACGTCAACAACGGGCAAGTCGAGGATTGGACGGGCCGCGGGTTCAACGACCTCAGGCGCTGCGTCATTGCAACGCCCCTAGCCCCCCTCACAACTCTTCTGGACGACCCTCTGCGAACGCTTCGATCGGTACGATTCGCCGCCCGCCTGCACTTTACGATGGACGAATCGCTGAAGGAGGCAGCCATGGACGATCGAGTTCGCAAGGCCCTCGCCGAGAAGGTCTCTCGTGAACGGATTGGATGCGAGGTCGATCTCATGCTTCGATCCCCCGATCCTGTTGGAGCAATGCGCCTCCTGATCAACCTCAAGCTTGCCAAGACCGTGTTTCCGATCGAAAAACACGTAGGCGATGCCAGAGACGGTGAGAACGGAGACTTATTGGAACGAGGTTTGCGATTGCTCTCCGTCACCTACGATCAACTGGAAGAAAGCAAATTATACACACCTGTTTGGTGTGACAAGTCCTATCGGGGTTCGTATACGACGCACGGAGCCGAGGACGTTGCTCTTATCGAGAATGTCGAGGCATTGCGATACATGTGGTACGCGTCGTTCCTCAAACCCTTTTATGACCATTCTTTGGTCCCGGGGGCGCCAGACACGAAGAAGAAGACAAGAAAGCTAAATCGTTCTGTAGTCTCCAAGCTGTTGGTGGATGACCTAAAACGGCCGACAAGAGAAGCAGAAGCTGTGGAGAAAATCATGAAAGGCGCCAACGGATTCAAGGCGCTGATGGACAGCGGTTGCGACTATTCGGCAATGTCTATTTTGCTGAGCGACATTCGGGTGCACGGTGAAACAGTCATAAACGACGGGAACGACGAAACCAAGCTGAGGTGTTCCATGAACGGCCAGAAGGTTTTCACTGCGACAGAAAATGATCCTGTCTGGCAGCATGCAATGGAGTTCCGCCTGTCATGCTCTAAGGTGATTCGCAAGGTCGGGCCCTTGTGGAGAGCGGCTCTCTTCCTTGCCATGTCCGAGCACATCACAGAAGCCCTCAATGGCGACCCCGAGTTTGTCATCGAAGGAGACTTTGTGGATGAATCACAGGAAGACCTGAGGCAGAGAGAAATCGAACGCTACGACACATTTGCTACGGCCATGCAGCGAATAGGACTGGTTGGGATCTGGGGACAAAAGCCATTGTTAGATGGAGGCGATGTCAAGAAAGTATTGCCCAACGTCCCGCACGGACCTGTGTTTCGAGACATTATGGAAGAACAGGAAAAGTGGTCGACGCTTCACCCTTGTGCCAGTGCCGACATTTTGGCTAGACATCTTGCGCAGACCTTTCCTGACTACGTATAAACATCAACGAAATGATTCGAGACGGAGAGCGAAGAAGGGATGATCGAAATCGATCGAAAGAAAGTTGCATGAACCGTAATAGATAGAATAAGACCGTCCTCGCTTAATTAACTATTGTAAATTTAAGAATAATATGATATCAATATGTTGGAGAGACTTCTACATCAATAGCACCTTTGTTGGCAAGTTCTTTTCCATCCTTTTCACTCTAATATCTATCGATGACAGGTTGGTGGTCGTTCCATGGATACTGCCAAAAGTAAAAGCACAACTTTAGTTTTGGGTAAAAAGATACCAACTGTACTAGAAGTAAGAAATATCCTGCTGCCAACTTCGAGTGCGAACGTAACATCTCTGACATGTTCTCTGGTTTGAACCTCACATGTTACCCTACGTACCTTACGGTACGGTATCAATAATGCATGGTCATTGATCATCGTCATCCCATTCTTGCTGCTACCGTACGTCATACGAGAACCATTTCCAGTATTTTAMTACGTACGGTACATACTACATACCACATACCAGACCTAAAGTACAGTGCATGAGAAACTGGGTACGTACGTAGTTACCATACATACAGTAAATCGTATGTTTTTGTTGTCTTAAAAATAAATATTGTGACCCAGCGATAATAATGACAAGGGCGAAAATTTACGTAGGTAGTATTTTTCGAATAGGAATTCCCCGCCCTCCCATTCAAAATTCATACCAGTGCTAAGAACAAAAGTGGGTACGAGTACCGATACATATTTGAGAACGTGCAGAATGTACCAACCGCTTGGACGGCAGTAACGGATTAAAACGTTGTCACACAAGTATTTCCGCAATTTTTTAAAACGTTGTCTCAAACGAAGAACGAACACTGTGAATCGAAGACTTGCATTAGTATGCAAATCGAATCAACGGAGAGAAAATCGATTGCCATACAGTTTGAGAATTGAGATTAGCTAGCTTCTTCAAGCCATCAAGACCGATCGCTACGCACAGTAATTGGACAATGGCTCCGAGACAAAGAAATATTTCGCCTCCATCACCCGCCACATCGGAAGACGAAGATTCGTCTTCATTCGATGATGGCCTAAAGGCTCCTTTGATACAGGGCGAACATCCTGCACCAGCTATGACAGCGAACAAGGTAGATGCGACCACGAGAGCACCGCCAAAATCATTGCGAATCACTGAAGCTGACATTGCCAGAGACAATCACGATTGGTTCAATGTTGTTGCATTGCCGGTTGTGGTCATCGCGTGTGCTCTGAATTACGAGTATCCATCTTTTCATTACTCGGGAAAATATTTCTGGAGTATGTGGGCGGTAAGTTGATCCACTATTGACCACCGAGATTCCTTACATCCGTGCTTTCCTATGATCGTATCGGGATGACAGGAGTTCTTGTTCTACTATTTTGAGGTACGGATCTGACTTGTGTCACCTTTGCTTGTGATGAATTTCATACTTGGGAAATGGCGTGTGTCGGCACAGGCAACGACAATGTATTTCTTCTTGGACTTTTCTTGGGTAACCATTGTCCCAACTTGCGTAAAAAGTCCTGTTGTTATCCAGAAGGTATGTTATTTTTTCGCAACAGAGACTGGACAATTGGCTTCATTTACAATTTCGAATCACTCTAAATTTCAATGCGCAAATGTCCAATGTCATTCAATCAAATCTATAACCTTTTTTTACTGTAGCATCACGTCGTCGCCATGATATACCTATTGGGTCCAATTTATTACCCGCAATATCGATGGTTGATGGGAGCCATTTTGTCGGTAGAAGTTAACACTTGGTTTTTGATCCTCCGAAGGTTGGTTTATCGAAACAACTACTGTCCCAGTGGTTACGCAAAAGTTTCGCCGATCATCACCACTGCCGTCTCTACCTTTTTCTACTTCACGTGGATCACGATACGTTGTTACCTCTATCCACACGTTCTAGTCCTCTTTTTTAGCATGTGGAAAGACGAAATCGAAAAAACAGGAAAATATTTCTACTGGGAACTTCTTTTCATCCCAGTTCATGCTGTCCTTTGTGTACTAAATCTAAAATGGACGTACGATTTGTTCCGACCCATCGTCAAGCGCTGGATGGGGACAGGTCCGAAAACGGTGGCAGTGTCAAACGGATTGTAGTTTTCTTTGCTAGAAAGAATTTATTCGTTTCCGAAGGGGATATATGAAAGCCCGCATAAGCCAAATGATTTTATTCGAGAAAGATAACGCTTACTAGCCAGAGAGATGATTGTCACTTGCCATCAATGATCAAGTGTTGATTATCAGTTACATCGATACGTTGGTGAACATTTTTTCCCTGACAAGTCACTCGGGAGTTCAGAATAGCACAGACAATTTAGTCAGTAGACAACACTTAAATAATGTTGCCAGTTTTCAAAGAAACTTTCAGAATTGATAGTAGGCATTAGCATGCATCGATGCTGCCACCAAACTATATATTATTCGTCTTTGAAGTGTGGAAATCCCTGTAGTACCAAGGTCAGAGGACATTCCTTAGAAAGAGCTTCATTTGGTGAAAGTTAATTTAGTGGTGCTGGATGTTATGATTTAAAGATAGTTGCATCTGGTAACCAATAACAATGGATGATTCCCGTTATTATAGATGTGCTACTTTTGATAGACTGACAGATCGAAAATTTAGCACGTCTATAACAAAATTTATTACTTTTGATGAAGGTCATCAAACRTAATAAAATTTTATGATGGAACTCATGAATGAGTTTGTTGAACAACTCAAAACAAAAGTCATGCATGTGCCTCTTTTTATGTGCGTGCCTCTTTTTTGTCCTTGTATCGTTGAACAATTACTTAAGAGGATTCCAGATTCCCAACAACAGCCAGCCTTCCTCTCAGTCTGTCCATTGAAATTTTGATTCCCTTTATTTAGCACATTGATAACAACGGGAATCACCCAATAGTAACAATAACCATTATCTTTCCATTCCTGGACCTATTTGCCTCTAATTYGATAGGAGGGTTTTTTGAGCGTTCATGTGTCATCCAATTTTGGAATATGTTTTGAGGAAAGCAGTCTGTGGTGCAAAAGCATCCTACTCTTTCAACAGAGTAAGTTTTACTATGTGCTCAGTGATGAAATGAGAGAAGAGTTACGAATAGTACCGGTATTGTGAGTAACAAAAGCGATCTCCGTAGAGACAAAAAAGGTGCACAGATGTCATAAGACCCCCACTCTGACCACTGAGTTACACACGCTTGGTAYTGCGCGAGACGGGGTTTGAACCCGCGACCAAGGGCTTGCTTTTTCGTGTGCGTCTGCATGACGTAAATTYAYATATATAAACTCTCTTTATATAATTTACTAACTTTTCTATGGGCACTGTACAGAAGCGTACGGTACGTAATGTTATCCACAGAACAAAGATGTGAATATTGTGGGGTAGAGCTGCGGTTAAAATATGCWTTGTGCTTCAGTAAACAAAATAAACACGATAGGACGTCGATTCCATCGGAGGGAGGACATATCTAAGACACTGATTGTTTGAAGACTTGCTGAAGCAGGAAGCGATTGCATACATTATTTTGTCGGGGTAGAATCTGGAGAGTGTACATTGTTGTTATGGTGAGCGGCAAAAGAAGCGGACGAATCCGAAATCCGACTCAGGAAAGCTCGAACTTTTCCGCTCGTCGCTGCAACGTTGTTACTCACTTCACTCCCCATCCATTCTTGTGTCCTTTTCTTTGCACCAAACCAAAACTAGATATTTGTATCCTTTTTCAAGACTTTGGTCGGTAAGGAAATCGCAGTCGAATTAAAAAACGATGTTGTAATGACCGGGACCCTTCACAGTGTCGATCAATACTTAAACGTCAAGCTTTTGAACGTAAAGGTCATCAATCCAGAGAAATACCCACAACTCGTGGCGCTAAAGAACTGTTTCGTCAGGGGTAGTGTTGTCCGATACATTCAGATTCCTCCGGAACACGTTGATACGGAACTCTTGCAAGATGCTGCCCGGAGGGAAAACGCGCCAGCGAAATAAGTATACAAACAACATTGAAAGCGATGCCGATGGTGGTGCTTCAAACATCGACAACGCAGGGGATGATATGAAGATTAGAAACACATTATCGAGAAAATCGAATGACAAGAAGAATATTGATTTCGAAAGTGATTGGTACTTTAGTGACGAAAAAAATCAGGGGGCTGGAGGAGTGCGATTTCCGGCAGCGGCGGCAGCAGACATCGGAAAATGGAACTAATAGATGCTCTACAGTGGAACGGATTGCAGGAGCCCTGGCAGCAAGATTACAATTATCGGCCAGAGATATCATTCGAAAGGGAGGTAAAAAATCTCGTTACGGGAATCTTATTTCTATTGTTCATCCGGAGGATTCTTTTTCATCTCCTGCGAACGAGATATCGAAGCCGYTCGATGGAATAGGTTCATATCTTGGTGCAGTTGGATTGTGCGATCCCTTCAGAAATTAGAATAAAATCAGAAAATTATCGTCTTCAAAAAGAGCAAAACCCAAAAGCCTTTCTTCGTAGCATCAATTCGGTGGACTATTCCTAGAATTTTCCATCATTGAGGACAATACGAAAATACGTGACCGGGGTACGTAGGGCCAGTACTTAGACCATTACTGGTTACATAGTATGAATTGTAGCGATACTAACAAAACGGCCCATTGCACTGCTGCATTAGAGGTAAATTTCCCCTCGACGTCGTGGAAGTCATTCTCGCTGAGCCACTGCAGATGACAACTCGTATCGAATCATTAGTTGCACACGCCATCACCTTTCGCTTCGCATTTGTCTTTTTTGACGAAACAAGTCGTGTAAGGAGCTGTACAATTCGGACTCATAGCCGCCGATATGCTGCGGATGATAGGACTCAATTCCAATCGGTTGTCTGGTTCGCCAACAGTCCAAAACGATTCGCAGGGCCAATTCGTAAGATTGTTGGAAATTTTCATTTCGTCCAGCAACACATCGTCGAGCATCTTCAATATGTCATTAGTCTTCTCTTTTGCCTTAGCTTTCCTAACTTCCGATTTCGCTTTCGTCTGCATAAGACCCATTAGCTTTGCTCCATCTGCATACATGTAGTTGAGTTGCGCTAAGGAGTTGTCGTCGTCGTCTTTTTCTACCACACCTTGGTTTTCGTCGTCGTCGTCACCGAGTTTGTCGTACTCATTGATAACAAGATTGAGCAGATCATCCTGATCCATATCCAAACYGAAGAACTCCTGGGCGGTTTCCACCAACACCTCCCTTCCTATCTCTGCGAAATCTTCCACTCCTATCGTCCACATGGCCGTGTGGGCAGCAATGTGGTTCAATCGACAGTGGTAGCGGATTTGTTGTCGCAGGGCGGCCTTGAGATCGTTTATCGTGATGTCGTTTAGAGACATTGGTGTAGGTGAGGATTGGACTGCCGCTTTCAGCGTATCCGTGGTTCCAAGCAGCAAGGGCTGGGGCACGACGCGAATCATTCTTGTGAGACCATGGGTTTTCCCGTAGCCGTACGGTGCCATGTGCGTAGTGGAAATGACCTCGGCCCCTGTCGCAGCAATTTCGTCGCCACCTTCTTTCTTTGCTTTCGCCAGAACGATATTGATGAATTTGACCAGGGCCGATGTCATCTTCCCGGGTGGTGCCAATACTCCTATTCTTTCTTTCGACCCCTCGGGGACAAAGGTTTTGCATTCTTTCTTGTTCTTCTTCCGATCGCCGTCTTCAAATACGAACGGCATGCAATCCTTCAGGGTATCCTCAAACATCTTCTCGTGTTCGAGAGGTTCGGTCCCGATGCTGACCATGGCATCGATGGGGATGTTTCCGATGCTTTCTTCTGACGTGACATGTACGTCATGGTGCTCCATCAAGTGGATGGATTGCATGATTATCGAGATCATGCATAATAAAATCAAGAGCACGAATCCGAGAAGCAAAGTGCTGGACGTCTTCATGATGGTTCGAATTTACTTTTTTTCTGGTCAGTCGACACCAATCTCCCAACAAATCAAAGTGAGATCCTTTCGGTCCCCGCCCCGTGCTGTAGTGGTATAATTTTGCGAAATTAGCTGCGTGCAGTTTCCCTTCTCTGTCGTAAATTTGTAGTTTCCTATCTGTTTTGAATGGTGGCATCGCATAAATATTGCMATGTCAATATCCTTCCAATATTCTTTTGTCTGGAAAGTGCGAGGAAAGATCCGAATTAGAAGTCTTCATCTTCAGCATTCGTTTCTCACTTTTCTCAACTGCCGGTTGAAAGACCCGTTAGGGTTCCTATCGGATTCCTATTGGATTCCGCACAGTACGATACCTTACCATGTACGAGTTTCGTACTGTACCAGGTGTGACCAATTAGAATTGAAGGTGCGCACGGCAAATTTACAAGAGAGGGTGATGGTTATGGGTGATTGTGGGTGATGGGTATTTCCTGAAACAACAAGTCTTCCAACAGACTTATTTTCAAGAACTACTACTAATACTAGATTTCAATTTATACTACCTACTGTAGTAGTATTTTTGTCCACCAGACTTCAAGATGAAGATTTGTTAATGACCAGTGTTCTTGGATATTCCTGATTCTGTTTTTTGACTTCTTCTTGTTCTTGCTGCTGTTCCTGCTGCTCTGCTGCTTGTTGTTCTTGTTGTTGCTATGTCACTGCTGTTCTTCTTCTGGTTGCATCCAACACTAACACCACTACTACCATTGCCACTACTACCAGTACTACCAGTAGTAGTTATACGACAGCAACAACTAGTACTAGTAGTATGCTTTGAAAGAATCAGATGCTAGTATTACTAGTACTACTAGTGGTGGTACTAGTAAGGAACTAGTACTTAGGCATGCTGGTATTACTACTGCTGCTAAAACTAATACTAATACTAGAATTAATAGCAGTAGTTGATGAAAAAAATATGAACTAGTAAAAGAGGCAATAGTAGGAAACCCTGAATCATTGAGCTTGTGTGGAATGAAGCTTCTTTTGGTTGCTCCTGGGGGCATCACTAGCAAGGAGCACAGCCACCACCACCACCAGTAGTGTAGCTACTACTAGTAGTAGATACTTCATGTTGGTGTGTGGTCTTGATTATTGATTCTTAGTTAATGGTACCTAGACTCCTATTGTTGATACTGTTAGTACTAGGCCTAAGTACCAGTATCATTACTAGTTGTATCAGTAGCTGTTGGTAGTACTKGCTAGTACTGTCTACTACTGGTATTCAAATATAGATGTACCATTACTGTTCTTGTTGGTGAGAAGACATAAAAACCGTCATTTGTTGTTCCTTGAACAAGAAAGGTAGTAAAACCAGGTATTTTGTACAGTACTAGCTCTTCCACAAAGAGAGTTTCAGAGTTGAAATCTATATTTGAATCATTGTAGAATTCTCAGTAGCAAACAAAGTTGTATTTTCCAGTGCCAAATATCCTTCAAAAATATTTGGACAACTCCCTTACTCCTCCCATTGTGTATCTACCCATGTGGTTATTTGTTCTGCTGTATGGCTGTTGGTGAGGACCAAGTTCTCTCTTACTAGACATGTTCTCAATTTGTTCTTGCAGTCTTGAATTGAATAAGAAGTGCATGGAGTTTTGTTGTACCTTTTCTCCCTTTAGTATTGGCTACTTGTCTAGCACTACTACCTTTACTAAATTGTATAGAATTTTAAAATCTATGTTTGAATTTATGCCAAGCTTGTGGGTGCTTCCAATAAAGAGGTGAAACTGGTATGATGCTTAAAAAAGAAATGAAAGGAGTTTGTGCTTGTCAACACCTCCTCTGTAAAAAGTATTTATCTCAAAATATTTTCATCTATCAAATATTTCTCCAGAGTGCAATATTGATACAAAGAGAATTGAACTACATGGATCTTTGTTGCACTTGTGTATTTCTAAGCAAGAATCTATTCTAGCAATAAGAAATATCATAGAGCTAACAGAGAAAAAATGTATGATCCAGTCTTACATTTTTTAACAAAAATATTCAGACATTGATATAAAACTATGACACTCTGACCCCCACATGAAACAATTCTTTTTTTGCTGGCTTTTGATTCATGTGCCTATCATTCTTAAGTGTCCATTGGGGACCAAGATACAGCTGTTAGAGTGAGTTGACCCTGAGTTAATTTTCTACATTTTTTCTACTGTGCATCTTTTTTCAGTTTAAAGCCTACTTTGACTAGACAATTTGCATATGTTTAAAGCCAAACACCTTTGTGCACAATACTACTTGGTTGCACAACTAGTGGGATTCGAAAATTAAAAATTAAAAACTAGTGCTGAGCGTGTGCATTATGTACATATTTTTTGAACTAGTCATTACTACACACATAAATAAGGGCCCAAAATGTACAACTGTATTGTAGAGTTATATGCTAACTCTATACAATAACAGCAAGAAGCAAACATGTGACAAGCAAACAAAAAGCAATCAAAATTTAGCAAGACCAAAAAACGACAACAACAAGAGCAGCACAACAAGCAGCACAATTGATCATGGATACATCCCCAATTCTCAAAGACGGGAAGCAATATTTTCTGGTCATGATGTTGTTGTTTCTGACATCAGTGTTGGAAAGCAACAACAATAACCCCAGCCCCCAGTATTCGGCCAAGACCTTTGAAGAATAACGCCTCAAGTTTATGCTACATACTCAGTTTAAACAAGATTCCCCAGCCTTATCTCCATGCAGTTCCAGTTTTATTTACGGACCAGAATTGTTTTCTGGTCATGATGTTGTTGTTTCCAATATTTGTGGTGGACAGCAGCAACAACAACCAATCAATCAAATTAAGATAATGCTGATGCCATCAGTATCATTCCCAGTACTATCCCCCACCAGTTGAGTGGTGCATTTTGCCTCAGCTGGATCCATCCCCAGTTCTCAAAGCCTGGAAGCAGATTCCAGCCACAATATTGTTGTTTCCAACATTTGTGTTAGACAGCAATAACAACAACCTCAGCCCCCAATATTCCACCACAACCTTTGCAGAACAATGCCTGGAGTATATGATACACCATACTCAGTTTTCAAAAGATTTACCAGCCTTATCTCCATGCAGATCCAGTTATATTTACTGACTGGAAGTGTTTTCCGGTGACGTTGTTGTTGTTTCTGACATTCATGTTGGATAGCAACAACAAAAACCTCCAGTATCTAACCAAGAGCTATACTTTGAAGAACAATGCCTGGAGTAGTATATGCTATGCCATACTCAGCTTTAAAGAAGATTCAACAGCCTTATCTCCAAGCAGTTCCAGTATTGACCAACCAGAAGTCCCAGCGTTCTCCGGTCACAATGTTGTTGTTTCCAACATTTGGATTGGACAGCAGCAACAACAACAAARCAATCTAATTAAGATGATGTGATCAGTCTCATTCCCAGTACTATCCCCCCAGTTGAGTGCAGTTTGCCTCAGCTGGATCCATCCCCAGTCCTCAAGGAATGGAAGATGATTTCGGTCACAATTGTTGTTATTTCTGACATTCATGTTGGAAAGCAACAACACCAACCACAGCCCCCAGTATTCAACCAAGATCTATCCTTCTATGCAGAACAATGCCTAGAGTATATGCTACACCAAACTCAGTTTCAAAGAAGAAGATTCTCCATCATCTCCATGCAGTTCCAGTATGATTTACGGACCAGTAGCCCCAGTATTTTCTGGTCAAGATGTTGTTGTTTCCAACATTTATGTTGGAAAGTAGTAATTACAACAACCCCCAGTGTTTAATCTTATTGATCTATCCCCAGTTTCTTCTTCACAAAGATGCTCCATAAACAGTTGCTCCTTTGGGTGGGCTCAGCTGTAATTTGAAAGACATGTGTCAGCTTTCTTTTGGTGGCTTTTTTCCTTTTTGATATTTTTTCTTTTTGACTACTCCACCACATGTGTCCTTGCTCACTGGGATGTGACTTGCCTTATGGCTTGGCAGTGCCCTCTGAAATGACAATGGCATGGTTCTCATCCATCCAAACTGTGAACCAACTCCTTTTATGTCATCTGAATCAAGCCTCAGGAGGCCTTCATTGGTCTGTCACCAGTGTGCATAAAACCTGGTTGCGCCTCCACAAAACCTCCTCAGAGGGAGGCGCCGCCCCTCAAAGCAGCTAGGAGCATTCTTCTCCCTAGTCAGGTGAAGCTATGGTTCTGGCCCACATAGTGCCTCTACTAGTTCAAGAGGTTAAATATAATATTAAGATTCTTTTCAATTCTGTCAAAGTTTGTGAGGGATAGACCTTGAACAGATTGGTTTTTGCAGGATCCCCTCAAACCATTTTCCTTATTTGGTACTGCAAACAATGGTCACCTATTATTTCAGAAAGAATTGTACTTCATGCTTCAACATAATAGAGCTGGCACCCAAGTTGACTATCCAGTCGTAGATTTTTCTGGAAACTAAATAAGTACCACCTACTACTATTACTTAGGAAAGATTTGTACTTTTACATAACAATTCAACATTCATAAAGTATAGAATCAATTAATTCTATTCAAAGAGTGCAACAAGTACAGTGGGATGTCACTGATCAGCCAATTGTGAGCTCCTGGGACTGGACCTACATATACCCAGTACAAGCCTATGCCCTGGATACCATCATATACTACTAGATACTACTATACATATACTGCAAGAGGTACAAAATTACTGAACTACAAGAATATTGATTTTTGAGAACAATAGTATGACATCATGATGTCAAGAAAGATATGAGAATACTGGTTGAGAAGAAGTGATATCACCATARCAGAATCATAAGAACCCCCTGTGGATTTAATACCAAGATCTACAGAGAATAGGAATCAACTACTAAAGTGCTCAATATCTCCTTTAATGAGCAATATCATGTGAAAGATGTGTTGACACTTTTGGATATCAAAATAAGATTATCAATTCTTTAAAACCATCAACCTGAATACTATGTCTCAACCCCAGTCACACCTCCACAATAACTCCTCAGATGGTGGTGCTGCCCCCCAGAGCAGCTAGTASTACTACTACTACTAGGAGCATTCTTCTCCCCTGAAAT